GGTGTGGAAATGGAGTTCACCATGAAGAATGTTCCTTAAGGTCACATTGTTAATAGGTGGTATAGCTGGGATTTGAAAGGTCATCTTATTTGTGCTTACATTTGTGCTATTTCCACTTCAGTTAGTTTTTTTCTTATTCTTTCTTTTTCTTTTCTTTCTTTCTTTTTTTTTTGATGGGCTTAATCCAGTTGTTCAAAACAGTCAAGAAAAGGGCAACAAGTATTCAGTCAACAGATATTTATGATATTTGCTGGAACAGGGCAATATCATTGTTATATTCTTATATTCTAGAGCATATATTCTAGTGAAGAATATAGATAATAAATAAATGCAAAAATAATTAAATTTAAAGATAAGATTACTATAGATTATGAGAAAGAATAAGCGAAAAATAAATGGAAGATGGCCACAGAGGTTTAAATCTAATTTAAAGAGAGTGGGGAAGGTCTGGGAAGTTTTTTGGGCCACATGATGAGTGAGCTGAGTTTGGCTGGCTGTATTCTCATGGACAAGAAGGGCAGAGCCCTCCAGGGAAACAGTATGGGGGGTCAGGTAAGCTTCCAAGAGGTTCATTCTGCCTCCTTGAAATCAAAGGGACTGCAAGTGTTCCTATGAGCTTTTCAGTTTTTCTTCTCTAAACTTTAAGTAATTCCAAGGACATTTGGAATACTCCTTTAGTCCAGGGGTGTATGTGATCTGGTGGTTTGGGTGATTGGAAGTGTCCTTGCCCACTTTCAAACGGCTGCTGTAGAGCTCGTTTTCTTTCTGAACTTCTGTCCCTCTGCCCTGCTCCATTAGCGCTTTGCGTATGATCGCGGCAACCGAATAACATCTAATGACACTTCTCTGCCAATTTTATTGCCAACTACACTTGGAACTGAAGCCCAGATGCAAGTGGTAAGGAGAGGGCAGCCAAGGCCTCCAGGTTGCCAGTTACTTGGCTAGAAATCCCATTCATACTGGGAAACAGATTTTTAAAATAAATTTGGCACCGGAAGTGCTGCGATCCTTTTGTGGAGCTGTGTCAATAATCATAAAGCCTCAGAATCATGCTCTCCAACCTTCGGTCTAGCTGACAAATGTTTGGGCATCAGCATATCCTCAGGATGCCACCTTCTGCTGACCGTGTGGGCTTCTCGTGCTGTTGGGGTTGGCACTGGAGCTCAATCTTCTGCTTTATGTAATGAGGCTCATCAGAGAGGCCCTTTGTGCTCACCCTCTCCGAGTGGGTGCTGGGCAAGACCTCTTGTGTACCCCATCATTTTCCATATGGTCAAAGCTAGGGAGCATTTCTGCGGTGTGGTAAATATGTTCTAATGACCGGCAAGATCCACCCCCCCCACCCCCCCCACCAAGTGCCATTTTGCTCCAAGCCAGGATTATCATGACCCAGCTTTGGTTTAAGATGAATTTTGCAAATATACGTGTGTGTCGGACTGTACTATTTTCAGGGAAAATAGGCATGGGTGTGACACGGGCTGATGTAATGAAGTGTGGCATGTGCCCAATCAGGTTGGCGAGGCTTCCTCTTTGCAGATTGTACCAAGAAGAGGGCAGAAATACGCAGAATCCTCTCTCTCTCTCATTCTGAGAAGGCTGGTTGCTAGCTTCTGACATCATATAAAGCCTATTTTCTGACTTTTTTTTTGTTTTGGCTTTGGACTCCCACGGGAGAAAACTGGCTAATACAGATGGTCACTTAGCTCCATTATTTGTATGGCTCCCTCCCATTAATATATTTTTTAACAGTGTTCAGTGTCAGTGTCAGGGGTTGGCAGCCTTCCTAGGGGGAACAGATTGCTCTGGAATAAACACAGCTGGAAACTGACCACTTATTGTTTTTCTTCCTTTTAAGAAATGAAAGAGGCATTTATAGGAAGGCCGGAGAACATTGTACTGTCCATAATTACTTTATAGATTTATGTCCCCAAGTCTGGTTAATGATTAATGCCACGCCTGGGTGTCCAAATGGACCCACTTCCTCTCTTCCTTCCTGAGGCTGCAGTTTCCTGGGAACAATGAGCTCTCGGAGGTTTGTTGTGATCCAGACTTAAGGAGGAGGTGGAGTCTGCTTGGTTATGTTCCTCCCGGCTGGGGCTGGCCGAAGTGTGTGGTCTTTGGAGCTAAAGAAAGCATGGCTTCTGTGGGGTTTTCTTCTGCTTATAGTTTCAGAGATGGGCAAGTAAGTGAATGCTAGAATGTTGGGGTGTGTGTGTGTGTGTGTGTGTGTGTGTGTCTATGATTTTCATTTTAGGTCATCTACAGAGTGAAGGCAGTGAATTTTCAAATAGTGTGACTCAACTAGGTTTTGTGTCTCTTGGAACTTCTTTGACTTCTTGTTGTCAGGGCGTTGCCATGTCTTGAAGTATTTGTATTTAAGAAAACCTTGAAGTCTGTGTAAATATCTAAGATATATCTGTAGTCAGGGGTTGAGTCAGGAGACAAGAAGCTGGTAAAATCACCCACCAGGGGGCAAATTCGGGGGAAGAGTGATGTGAATGTGGCCCTGGGAGGTTCTGGGGTGAAAGTGAAGGGAGGGAACCAAGTTTTTTTCTTTCCCAGTTGGAAGACTTTATTGTTGTTTAGGTCGTTTATTTCTGTAGTACCCAAGGGCCTCTCTCCTTCTCTATTTCCTTAAATAGATGTTTTGATAATTTATGAGTTATGATATGATAATTAAGTACTTTTAGGAATTGCTCCTAATTAATGGCTACATGAACCATTAATTAGGTTCCTTAGGAAGGCTTTTCAAAGGAGCTTTTCTTAATGAATGGGACTCTCTACATCAATTTTATAAGAACTGAGATGAAGACAAGGAAGACACAGGACTTTCAGAGTAACTTCTGCTTTTGGTTTCTTTAAATGACCAATGGAAGACCTTTTTCACAGACAAATATATGTGTGTGTGTGTGTGTGTGTGTGTGTGTGTGTATAATATATATATTATATATATAAATTATTCATTATATATTATATTATATATATTTGAAAGAGAGAACTACAGGATTGTATCTGTTGGGATTACCAGGATTACCTTTCACCTGCATTGGAATATGTGTGTGTTCTTTGAACAAGTTGAATCTATCATTCAGTCCTTACTGGACTATCTCATTTAATAGCTTTCCCTGTCTGTGTGACTGAAGCCCAGGGATGACACTTGTTGGAACTAGGCCATGTAGCTATTTGGGTTCTCATAATCAAATTATCACAGATACATAGTAAAACGCTGTGTGTTGTCACTTGACATTGCAATGTGTCAACTAATTAAGTCAAACATGCTAATAGCCTTCTGAAGTCCAAGAGCAGGAGAAGGAATGGTAAGTTATGAATCTTATAAAATGCATAGAGAGAAATGAGTTGAGAACTGAGAAAAAAAGTATTTTACTAAATGTGTTCCTAAAAGGTTTTCCTCTGTGCTGATTTCCTGGCTTTATATAAAATGGCAGAATTGATCTAGATATTGGATTTTGAAGGAATAGGAAAAAAAAAACCCTCATTTATATATTATGTTGGGTTCTGATAATATGACCAGTTTTTTTCATGAATTTCTTAAATGACTTTTTAGAGAATGGTACCACGCGGCTGTTTCTCTGTAATCAACAGGTACTTATGGGATCTCCGTGTTTTTTCATCTGCTTTGTCTGATTCGATTCTCACAGTCCAATGATGTGGGTGTTGATGTCACTTCCCTATTTTACAATTGAGGAAATCGAGAGTCAGTTGAAAATGATTCTGGAGGGTTTTTGGTTAAAAAAAAAAAAATGGAAGAACCAGATGTAAGCTGGGGATTTTCAAACTCGAAAGCCCTTGTTCTCCACACCCCTCGCTTTCTGGCCGTCTCTGTGCTTCTGCCACTGTGGATAGTGAAGAGCGCGCTGCATTGGAGTGTCAGGAGTCTTGGGCTCTGCTTCTGACTGGGCCATTGCTGGCTCTGTGATGTTAAGTCAACTCAGGTATTCTGATGTCATTGTCCTGCAACGAGTTTACCTTATTTGATTCCATAAGTTTCTTTGCGACTTCAGGATCTACCCAGGACTTTATCCGTGGCTTGTGCCAGCTCTGAAGTGCTCAGTGACAATGCAGAGAAGAGGTGAGAGAGGAAGCAGAGCTCTGAAGACCCAGCTCTGCTTGGGTTCCCTCTGCCAGGCACCAAGAGGCACAGGCTGTCCATAGCTGAGGAAAATCCCAGGCTCTTAGAAGCCTGTTCTCTTTGATCTGCTTCCTGGGCTAGCACTTCTCAGTTTGTTCTTTTTACCTCACCAACAAAAGTATTTGAGCCAAACTCTTTTACAGTTTCAAAGCCCAGGGATGAACAATATCAGAGTCCATTCCTATCTGGTCCCCAAAGACATGAAATCCTCCTTGCAAGAACCCATCTGTTATCTTAATCCTTCTTGGAGCAAAGCAGATGTAAATAAATATTATTCTAGGCTTAAGATTTAAAAACCTTCTCTTAGGTTTTCCAACTTGTGGCAGGTAGCCATGGAATGGGACAGGGCAAAAGAGAAAAAATAGTTTTTATTTTACACCCATCGTTAAGTCTAGCAATTATTCACAGATCAACTTAGAAAACTGAAGGATACTGAGATAAGAGTGACTCCGTTTGACATTAAAAAGAAGCAAAAACCACAACAAACAAACAAAATAAAAAAACACCCAACCCCCCCAAAATACTCCTGTAACCAACATCATCTGTCATCATGAGTATTCTATGAAAAAAGAAAAACAAAAAAGATTGGAATGCCATTCTCAGCAGGGAGAAAGGGTACATCTTCCTAGGTACACAGAGTTGGCATTCTTACCTTGACATGTTCTCCTTGTTGTTCATTCCTGATGCCAGTTTGCATTTGGGACACCCTGCGGTGGCTGGTGCGTGCACAGTGCACAGACTGCCTGGATAGGAAACAATACTCAGAATTGGGAGGTGACAGTGTGTTTCTGTGGCTGCTCTCTTGCTACAATGTAGATTTTTAACTTTGTCCTTACATCTTTCCCAATAGGCAAGAAGAGAAACCCTGGCCTTAAAATTCCAAAAGAAGCATTTGAACAACCTCAGACCAGTTCCACGTAAGTTGGCACAATTATCGTCTTAACTCAAGCACGGCGGGGACTTAGCCTCCCAATGGGTTCACTTTGGGGATCGTGAGCCAGGCCTTGGCCTTGGATGTAGGTGTTAGAAAGAAGAGTCCATTCAGGGGGAAGTCGTTTCCTGACTCTTCTGAGACCTGAAATCATCACATTCCATCTACAATCAATGGTTAGCTTTGAAGTCAGTGCCTCAAATTATTGGTGGAGTCAGAATTGTGTGGCACATGCGTTTGTCAGCTGAGGTCCTACAGAAGCCTAGAGAGGTCCCCAGATATGGATTGTCCTGCTTTCCCCCTGTAGATCTGAAAGAAGAGACACATCCCTGTGAGAGTCACTGCTGTAAAACACAGGTTGAGAATGAAAGGTGGTATTTGATGAGGACCCACATCCTTGAGACCTAAATCCTCTCCCTTATAAACAGAAGGCAAAATGAGGTAAAGGAACACTTCTTTATTAGCTAAGCCTTTGGCCAAAATCCCTAGGTGAGCTCAAGTCCTGGTGCAGCAGGATGCCCTCTCTGTGAGCCTTCTTTCTTTGTCTCTCTGTGTTAAGCATCATCAAGATGCTTAACTGTGGGGTGGGAAGGGTATGTCTCGTCTGGAAGTACAACCACCCCCATGACATCTGCAAGTCACCAAGTCACGAATAGAAATTCCATGGCAAAAAAAAAAAAAAAAAAAATCATACCAGAGCCACTGGAGAGACAGAGCAACTACAAAGAGAGTGCATCCGGGAGGAATGTTGAGGTTTTAAAGCTTTTGCTCTGGTCTTCGAAGTGCCTCCCTCTGTGAATGGTTTGTCCTGCGCTGTGATCCATCCTATTGGAAAGTGCGCCCCCTAGTGTTGGGATGCACTCATAAATGTGATCACGTCCCCTCAGGCTGCCAAGGTCAGGCAGCCACAGGCAGAAAAATGTCACTGAAGAACCTCTATGGACAGAGTGAAATAAAGAGCTATACTCTTCAGGGCCCTTTATGGTAGCCTGAGGGGTTAAGCTCGAGTGAGGATGTTGGTTTGTGAGGATCTGTAGGAGGAAGTTTTCCCTATAACAATGTCTAGAATTTTTTTTCTTTTGGAATGGGGTTCCTCTGAGCAGTTGGGCTCTCCCCTGAGGACTTGTAAATTGTGTAATTACTATTTTTTTTCCCCTCTGACTAGTTTGGAGTCAAATATGTGTCCCATTTTGCCACCGTGGGAAGAACTTGGTGGGATATACTTTAAAAATATTTATTTTAAAATAATTGTAGATGCACAGAAGGTTGCAAAGGCATATATACGGAAGTCACATTTAGCTTTGACCTAGACTGCACCAAAATCCCCCCATGTGAACATTTTACACAACTACAGTATGATGAAGCTATATTGGTGCAAACCACAGATACATTCAGTTCTAACGGCTTTACAAGTGCTCACTTATTTGTGTGTGTGTGTATACATGCGAAGTTCTATGTAGTTGACTTGCGTAGCTTTGTGATCTTGTTATCTTTGTCAGTTTTGCTGGAGGTAACCACTATCATCGTCAAGATGCTTAACTGTATGAACAATACAAGACTTGCATGTGACCCACTAAAAGTCATGCTTACCTCTTCCCCAGGGCACTTTACCACTGAAGTATGTTCTCAGTCCTTCTTATTTTATTTTGGACAGGGTCTCACTAAGTTGCTGAGGTGGGCCTCCAACTAGTGACCCTCCTGCCTCAGTCTCTCAAGTCACAAAGATTACAGGTGTGGCTCAAGACTTTATTTCATTTAACTTAATTTCCCTGAGATTGATTCAAGTTGCTGCATGTAGTGTATCAATAACTTTATAGCTGAGTACTGTTCCACGGCATAGTTATACCACCGCTTATTTAACCCTTCAGTCTTTGAAGGAAATATGGATCGCTTCCAGTTTTTGACTATTCTGAACAAAGTCATGACATTCCTGTGTAACTCCTTACATGAGAATAAGTCTTCATTTTTCTGGGATATATGCCCAGGACTACAACTTTTGGTTTATATGGTAAGGACGTTTTCCATTTTGAAAGACTTGCCCAACTATTTTCCAGAGTGATTGTAACATATTATGTTTTCAATGATAATGTATGAATGATACACTTGCTCTGCAGAATTTGATATTAGCACCGTTTTTCATATCAGCTTTTCTGATGGGTAGTGATATGTCACTGTAGTTTGTTTTTAACTTTATTTATTTTTATGTTGTGCTGAAGATAGAACCCTGTGCCTCACATGTGCTAGGCAAGTGCTCTACCACTGAGTCACAACCCTAGCTCCACATCGTAGTTTTAATTTGAATTTCTCTAGTAGCTAGTTATGTAGAATATGTCTTTAGGTGTTTATTTTCCATCCACGTACTTTCTTTGGTGAAATGTCTGGTATCTATCTTTTGCCTACTAACTAATGAGATTGCTTTTTATTGTTGACTATTGGCAAATACTTATATATTCTAGACATGAGAACTTTTTAAAAGTATGTGATATGAAAATATTTTCTCCCCGTTTGTAATTTGTCTTTTTATCCTTTTAGCAGGGTCAAAGAACAACATTATTTATTTATTTATTCTAATTAGGTATGTAGGACAGCAGAATGCATTTTGATTCATTGCACACAAATGGAGCACAACTTTTCATTTCTCTGGTTGTACCCGATGTCGAGTCACCCCATATGTGCAGTCATACACAAAAGGTTTTAATTTCGATGAAATCCAGTTTATAAGTTATTCCTCTTTACCGATCATGATTTTGGTAACAATCTTAAGAACCTTTACCTTGTCCCAGGTCCTGAAGATTTTTCTCTGTTCTTGTATAGAAACTGTATAGTTTTACATATAAGCCCCTGATCCATTCGCAGTTCATTTTTATAAAAGTTAACAAGGGTTAGGTTGAGCTTTATATTTTTTGCCAATGGATTTCCACTCGTTTCAGTGGAAATCCCTCCTCTGTTGAGTTGCGTTTGCTCCTTTGTCTAATATCAATTAGGCATGCCTGCTTTGATCTATTTCTGGATCTCTGTTCTGTTCCATTGATTTATGTGTCTGTTCTTCTGCCAGCGTCACACTGTCTTGATTATTGCAGCTATATACTAAGTCCTAATATTGGGAAAAGCGATGCTTGCCACTTTGTTCTGATTTTCAAAGTTATGTTGGCTCTTCAAAGGCCTTTTTTCTTTTCATATAACTTTTAGAATAAACTTGTCTTTGTCCACAAAAGAACTTGCTGACATTTTATTAGGAACTGAGTTTAACCTAGAGATCAAGTTAGGGATAAATGACACTTTTATTACATTGTCCCTTCCAATCCATGAACATGGTTAATTTTTCTCAATATTTAGTTTTTTAACAGTTTCTTTCATCAGAATTTTGTAATGATCCTCTTCATTACGACTTGTTCAGATTTCTATCTAAGTAGATTTCCTTGGAGCAATTGTAAGTGGCATTTAGTTTTTTAAATTTTTGTTTCTATCATTCATTGTCAACATATAGAAGTGCAGTTAATTCTTCTATGTTGATCTTATTTCCTGTGACTTTACTGAACTCAGGTATTAGTTGCAGAAGTTTTTTGTGGGTCCCTAGGATTTTCTTTCTTTTTTTTTTAATTTTTTTTTTTTTTTAGTTGTAGATGGACACAATACCTTTATTTGTTTATTTTTATGCGGTGCCGGGGATCAAACCCAGTGCCTCACACATGCTAGGCAAGTGCTCTACCACTGAGCCACAACCCCAGCCCTGTCCCTAGGATTTTCTATGTAGATAATCATGGCATCTGTGAACAGAGTTTTATGTCCCCCTTCCTAGTCTCTAGTTTTTTTAAACTTTTATTTTCTTGCCTTATCGAAGGGGCAAGGATGTCTAGTACTGTCAAATACAATCGGTAAGACTCTACAACTAACCTTTGTTCTCCATCTTGTGGAAAAACATTTAGTCTTTTCTGCTTAAGTCCCGTGTTAACTGTAAAGTTCTTCTTGATGCTGTTTATGAGGTAGAAAAAGTCCTTTCTAGTCATAATATGCTGAGGATTTTTATTATAAATGGGTGTTGAATTTTGTTGGCCACTTTCTCTGTATCAGTTGATATGATCGTAAGGTTTTTCCTCTTTGTCGTATTGATATGGGTATTATATTGATTAATTGGTGGCACGTATATTATATTTTTATATATTGTTAGGTTTGATTTGCTAAAATTTTATTGAGGATTTTAACATCAGCATTTTGAGACATGTTGGTCTCTGGTGATTTATTTATTATTTCTTTTGTGCCTTGTTTTCTGATAAGATAGTAAGGCCCTCATAAAGTGAAATTGGTGAAAAGTATACCCTCTTGTATTTTTCAGTGGTCCTTGGGTAAAACTGGTGTTAAATCTTTGAATGCTAAAATTCTCCAGTGAAATCAGATTGCCTGTATATTTTCCTGGAACTTTAAAATTTCTCAATTTCTTTAATAGATACAAGGCTATTCAGATTATCTGTTTCATCAGGGCTGACTTTTTGGTAGAATGTGTTTTTTGAAAAGTTGGTCTACTTCTAAGTAGTCAAATCTGTGAGAGTAAGTTGTAGTATTTTCTGATTGTCCTGTCAATGGTAGCAGGATCTGATGCGATATCCTATTTTTTCCCCTGATATTGGTAATTTATGTCTTTTTTTGTCTTTGTCAATTTTGGTTGAGGTTTATCAATTTTGCTGATTTTTTTGAAGAATTGGCTTTGTTTTATTGTTTTTCTGTTTTTAATTTTATTGCTTTCTGTTCTTATTTCCCATATTTTCTTTAAAATATATTCTCCTATTAGGCTGTGGATGTAGCTCCATAGTAGAGAACTTGCCTAGCATGTGAGAACTCTGGGTTCAATCCTCAACACTGCAAAACAAAACAAAATAATATGTATGTGTGTGTTGTGTGTGTATAAAACTATATATAGAAAAAAAATATATAAAGCACTATGTATATATATAAAACATATATTTTCTTACATCAATTGTCCAGTTTTCTTTTTCTTTTGTGTTTTTATTCTTTACCCTTTCCTAATGCATATTAATTTTGTATGTTTTATGAATTTTTGAAAGCCTTTCTTTTTTAATATTTATTTTTTAGTTGCAGATGGACACAGTATCTTTATTTTATTTATTTATTTTTATGGGGTGATGAGGATCGAACCAAGGGCCTCCCACATGTGAGGTGAGTGCTCTACCTCTGAGCCGTAACCCCAGCTCCACCCCTAAAAGCCTTTCTTGACATAAGCAAATGAATAGGAAACTAAGCAAGCATAAATGTAACCTCTATTTTTTTTTTTTTTTCAACTGGTAGAATGTATTTTGAATACCCTTTTCTGCTTCACTGTGTGGGGGTCAGAGCATCACTATAGTATTGTGGACTACACCATTTAGATTATAGTCTTCTCATTTAGCAGTGAGGTTTAGATTTGTACTTCTAAAGAAATAGCTTCCACATTTTGTTACTTTCCTTGGCAATTTCTTGAGGTTGGCCTGGCAATTCTTACCATTCATATCCCGTCTCCCTGTCCTAGGGCAGAGCTCCTCTCTCTAAGTCCAGTGTGTGTGGTCTGTCTGCTTGAGCTCTTTGAGTTGCCAATGCCAATGTGTCTTTGACTTAGGTTTCTGAGCTCTTTGCTCACTTGATTGATAGTAACTAATCCTAAGTCAATTCTATGCTAGTCAGTATTATTTTATTAAACTCTCACAAAAGGATCAGGAGGCATTTAAAAAACAAACAAACAAACAAAAAAAACCCTCATTTGACAAGCAAAACAACAGAACTGTGTAAGGGTCAGGTGTGTGTTTGGAATTGTTCAGCTAGCTTCATTGGGTAAGTGTTCAGGCCCTGCAGCCAGAATGCCTATGTTTATATTTGAGATCTAAACCTGACTAGTTAGCAAGATACCTAACTGCACTGAATTTTAATTTCCCTTTCTTAAAAATAAGAATAAACAATGGTGTGGTTGTTATGAGGATTAGATGTCATACTCCATATTAAATGTCTTGCCAATTGCCTGCTGCATTGTAGTTGCTCAGTGGAAGGTAGCTGCAAGTTGTTCATTGTTATGGTACAACTTCTAAGTGGAATCACTCAGGGATCTCGGATACTCAATCATGTGCGAGTTAGACTGGGTAAAACTAAGGCAAATAATTTGCGGCTAGTGAGTGAGGATCCTTTACTTCTGTAGTTGAGAAGTCATGGGACATCTCTGAATTCTAATGTCATTATCTCTTTGAAAGACCTTAAAATTAAGAAAGACCTTAAATTAATCTCTTTCAATGCCAGTTCTTTTCTTTGTCTTTTTTTTTTAAGGTGGTGCATTATACTCGTACATAATGGTGGGATTTGTTTTTACAGATCTGTACATGCACATATCAATGTCATTTCTTCGAATTGAAATAGAGATAAAAATGTCAGAGTTGTAAAAGAGAAACTATTTTATGCAAATGGTTTAGCACAGTGTCTGGGTCAAGTCAGTACTTAACAAGTTAAATAAATGAATAAGATTGTAATAGTAATCAGTGAACTGATTATACCTATAGAATTACAAAAAAATATTATAATAAACCAAAATTGGTTTTTCATATAAAACACTAATACTGGGTGACCTTTGGAATACCTTTGGTCTTCTAGGGAAAGGATTTTGTAATAAGCTTGATTCTTTACCCAGAAAATTAAAATATGGAATAATTGACAGAGAACATCCACCCACAGTTTACACCTACAAATCTTAATGCCCCAGGTAAACTAATATACCCAGCCCTGGACAGAAAGAACACAGTGTCAACTAATCCAATCTGAGCTGTCAGTCTTGGCCCCATAGCCTGATGCTTTTGGCAGATCTGATGAACCCTAAGGCCTGAGGCTTGGGTGGATTAATCATTTTCATTAGAAGAGGCCTGGGTATTGGGAGCAGGTTCCTTGATTCAATCAGACTGAAATAAACGTCCTTTCTTCTTGTACAACAATTGTGGGAAAAAAAATGGTGAAATGTTGGATACGTTGGTGCCCTTGAATGAAATAAAAGGTTTGAAGCTACTCTAGCTCTGTGACTGCACACATATGGCTCTATTTATTGGCTATTTACTGTACGCCAAGCATTCTGCTAAGCATTTGACTTGGAACATTCCCTGTAATACCCAGTCCTACTCCACAAGGTAGGCACGGTAATATCTCCATGTTAAAGGAGACACAGAGGCTCAAAGAGATGAAGTAATGTAAACCCTAATGTATTTTATTTTAAATCCCATACATTCACACTCCCATGCTATTTTTCCTGACTTGTGAACTTCTGCCTTCTTTCCAAAGAGAAAAACTCTCCAGTTGCATATAATTTGGAAAGAATGTCTTTGACTAAATATCTCATGTATCTTCTTTTCCCCTTTATCTCTCTCAGGCCACCTCGAGATTTAGACTCTAAGGCTTGCATTTCTATTGGAAATCAGGTGAGAAAAGTCATGCCTGTCAGCTAACACATTGATCATTTTAAGTATATACTTTCTGGATGACCAATGAAAAATTTATTGTTTATAGAATGCTGTCATGGATGCATCAAAAAAGTCGGACATCAAAGGGAAATGGCTTGTTTTGCTTTTGCTATTTTGAATTGTGAATGGCAATCAGGCTATTGTGGTACTGATGAGGGTATTTTTAAAAATTTATTTATTTGTTCTAATCAGTTGTACGTGACAGCAGAATGTTCTTTGGTTCACTGTACACAAATGGAGCATGAATTTTCACTTCTCTGGTTGTATACAAAGTAGGGTCACAGCATTCATGCAATCATACATGTACCTAGGGTAATGATGTCCGTCTCATTCCACCATCTTTTCCATCCCCATGCCCCCTCCCCTTTGGACCATCCAGAGTTAATCCACTTATCCTAAGCCCCGTCCCCCATTATGGATTAGCATTCACTTTTGTTGAGGGTATTTGAAGAGACTGGATGTTTTTCTTGGTAGGGTCAGTCTCAAAGTGGCGTAGATCTGGTTGCCATCAGCCAGTAGTAGGTTATAAAGATGATTAAGGGGGTGTGGCTTAAGAGCTGCAGTGTAGACAGCTTCCACAGAGCCACTGGAAAACTGAGTTGGGTGGAGTTAGGTCTCTGTGTTGCCTGTAATGAGCAGGTTGCTTTGGCTTCCTGTAGAGACCTGAGCCTTTTCTATTGCTCTTGGTGGCTTCTTGCTTTCTGTGGCTTGCTAGAAAAACTCATGGCCAGGCAATGACCCCTTGAACACTGAGAAAAACCAGATGAGTGAGGACAGCATGGTCAGTGTCTAGTTCCTTTGTCACCTTCCTATTTTTCTCTCTCGCAGAACTTTGAGGTGAAGGCTGATGACCTGGAGTCTATAGTGGAACTGGGGCGAGGTGCGTACGGGGTGGTGGAGAAGATGCGGCACGTGCCCAGCGAGCAGATCATGGCGGTGAAGGTAGAGTTGATGTTCCCCGGATGTTTTGTATCTGCAGTGTGTATGTTTGTCTCCACTGTAAACCAGCCCTTTTCATAGAAACAAAATGGTCTTCAATAGGGTGGAAAAAAAAAAGATTCTTTGCAGGAAATAGTATTTTTCTCCAAATATGTGTAAAATGCTTCTTTGGTATGTGTTGCATAGACATTTAATTTATTTTTTAACTAAGCCCCTCCACCACCATTTTTAATTTTTTTTTACACAATGATGATGTCACTGTCATACTTAAAGGAATTAGCAAATGCTTTCTTGTTTCTTGCACTCTTCTGATACTAGATCTGAACGAACATTTCTTTGATTATCTCGAAGTGCTGTTGTTGTTCTGTTGGTTTTTCCTGTCAGCATCCAAAGCAAGTTACACAATGCGCTTGGTTGCTATGATGCATGAATCTGTTTTATACTGTTTTGAGTTACAGAATTGTCCCTGAAAATCAAGAAACTGTATTTGAGAGAGAAAACATCTGTTTGTTGAAAAAAGGGGGGGAAATACATCTAGAGTAAATTTGCATCACTGTTGAGCTATGGACTGCAATCTGGATCAGTTGATGTTTCTGGAGTAGATTCTGGTCTTCTTAAGGAATTGCCTTTTCTGCATAGTTAGTAACCGGGCTCTTATTGGGAGTGGCAGGAGACAGTGGAGCCCTTTCCTGTTAGAGAATGGAGGCCACCTCATGAAGACCTAGTGTTACGGTAACTCTGCTGTCAGTTAAAGACACAGTCACATTTCTGGAAGGCAATATTTGCAGGTGTGACAGGTTTGTCTTCTTTCAGAAGCACTGGGTTGGGTTAAGTGGTTTCTCTGTTTCTGTTTGGTTCCTCCTCTTCCTGTAGTTGTACCAGTTCTCTGACAGTTGCACTTGATTCCAAATACAGTTGGTTCTCCCTATGTGTGGGTACCACACCTCTGGATTCAACTAATTATGGATCAAAAAAAAAAACATTTGAAAAAAATTGCACTGAAGATGTACAGGCTTTTCCCTCATCCTTATTCCTTAAACAAAACAATGTAACAATTGTTTATATACATTTATTTTGTATGAAATGTTCAAGGCAATCTAGGAATGATTTAAGGTATATGAGATGATATGTAGAGATTATATACAAATACCACATTGTTTTATATTAGAGACTTGGGCCTCCTCGGACTTGGTAATCCAAGGGCAGGTGGTCCTGGAACCAATCCCCCGGGGATATGGAGGGCTAACTATAGCTACTGTACTCCTACATGTTCCCAAAGAGGGGCTTTTGGCTTTTTACCCCTTAGGATCACACATAAGCAGTAAAGTACCTTCACACTAACCTGATATAGTCCTGTAAACCAGATTACTTTTATACCTTAGAAATACAGTTTTAAACATCTTCCTATTCTCTGAAATATTCAGTTAGTTTGCCTCTTTTGTTTAAGAAATCAAATGATGAACAATTTTCCTTACTTCTTTTTTTTTTTAAAGAGAGAGAGAGAGAGAATTTTTTAATATTTATTTTTTAGTTTTCGGCGGACACAACATCTTTGTTTGTATGTGGTGCTGAGGATCGAACCCGGGCCGCACGTATGCCAGGCGAGCGCGCTACCGCTTGAGCCACATCCCCAGCCCTCTTCCTTACTTCTTATGGATTACAAATGGCTGGTTACTCAGGGTGGATATGTACTAGCAGTGGTTTCTGCTGATTTCAGGAATGGGCTCCTCAGCTCCCTGCCTGACTCAGCTCAGAGAAGTAACCCTAAGTTTTCCATGCCTTCCCATCTAGCGGATCCGGGCCACTGTAAATAGCCAGGAGCAGAAAAGGCTACTGATGGATTTGGACGTTTCCATGAGGACGGTGGACTGTCCATTCACCGTCACCTTTTATGGAGCTCTCTTCCGGGAGGTAGGTGGTCCTTTGATTCAAAGTCCAAGAAGAATAATGACTTAAGTTTCTCCCCTCGCTCACGTGCCCAGGCTGCCTGTTGCTTTTTGGAGGGTATCTTGCTCATTTACAAATCCCTTTAAGATCTTGAAGGGAAACTGTACCTTTTCCTCCAAAAACGCAAACAGGAATAGTTCTTCAGGACAAGGTGTTGACTATTTCTTCTTCCCCCCTTTTCTACCCTCCTTGACCTTCCTTGAATGGACTGATCTCCAGGGTGATGTGTGGATCTGCATGGAGCTCATGGACACGTCGCTAGATAAGTTCTACAAACAAGTGATTGATAAAGGCCAAACAATTCCAGAGGACATCTTAGGCAAGATAGCAGTTTCTGTGAGTACATCCTGAACCTTATTACAAGGAGAACACAAGAAGTCTAGGCCTTGGGGGTCTTTGGGTCCCCAGTATGAGGAACCAGTACCTTTACCATAATGACCATCCCACACGTGTCTGCTGGATGCGTGCCTACATGGGTGGGTGGGTAAATAAGTGCTTTCCTTCCTGAGCCCTGCGTCGAAGATGTTACCACTGATTTGGTTTAGCAGATTCTACACTGAATTACTCTGATCAGGGCAGCCATCTGTTATGACTGCATTCCACCCAACTCTATATTCTGATATCTATTTTTTATTCCAATTTTAATTTGTGGATTTTAAATGTTTTCTTAAAACTAATATTCATAAAAAGAAGCAGCAGAAAAAGATAGAAGAGATTGTTTGTTACCTTAATGGCTACTAAGATTCATGAGGGTAGAGAAAAAAAAATGCTTGAGGCTAAACAGAAAAAAGAGATGAGTGAGACATCTCTGATGTAAGCTACAGCCCTCTCTGGTGGGTGGAGCCCAGTTTGTGTAACTTTCTGTGCCTACACATCTTGGATAGAACCACCACTATTTGGGAAAATACCTTACCCTGTGACCTCAAGGCAGGGATAATAAACCTGAATATGCCAACATTCAGTTTCTTTCCAGTGATGGGGTCAATAATTCTACTTTGTGTTTCTCTTACAGATTGTAAAAGCTTTAGAACATTTACACAGTAAACTCTCTGTCATTCATCGAGGTAAGCATCCACGGAGCTTCCTTGGCTATTCCCTTTAATAAGTTCATTTCTTTGGCTTGCAGTCTTCCTCCTCACTTTCCCTCCCCTGTAAAGATGGCAGTGGAATTGAGCCAGGTAATTGTTTGGGAATTGCATAGCAGTTAGCTTTTTGTGACTGTAACAAAACACCTGATAATAATCAACTTATAGACAGGAAAAGTTTATTTTAGTGCACAGTTTTGGAGGGTTTAGTCCATGGACAATTGGCCCCATTACTTTTTGGCTTGTAGTGCAGCAACATATCATGGTGAGAATGTGTGGCAGAGGAAGCCCGTTCACACTGTGTCTGGGAATGAAAGGGAGGAAGAGACCGAGGTCTCATGTCCCCTTTGAGAGCACACTCCCAATGACCTAAAACTTCCCACGAGGTCCCACTTCTTAAAGTTTCTACCACTTCACAGTAGTGCCAAGCTGAACACAGCCTTCAACACTTGGGGGACGCTTCAGGTCCAAACCACAACAGTACATTTTTTTTTTTTTAATCTTGGTTGAGGGGATAAGAAGACCTGGGCTTTATATTACAACTAAATTGAATATAAAACACCTGTTACCAAGCTAAGGAATCATGGGGAATTTCAGAGATGATAAAAATTCATCTTGTCCTCACCATCACCAAAGCATAATGGACAAATGTATGACATTCTACATTTCAACAAGATCCCCAGGTGATTCTTGAGCACATCGAAGTGAGGAAAACTCTGGAATAAATCTGAGCCCTTTCAGGCTGCAGGAGGCAGGAGAAAATGATTTGGATTTTCCTTTCTCCATTCTTCTCTTCCTTTTCCTTGGCTTATTATCTCTTTACTCATTCATTCACCCACAATATATTTCCTCATCTACCTTTTATCCATCCACTCATCTATCCATTTAGCTCTTATAATCACCTTTAAAACATTATTTAAATACGACACTGTAATAGATGCCCTGAGACGTATCTATGAAAATATATTTTTGTAACAAAATTATCAATAAGAAATTAGAATATATATATATATATATATATATATATACACAAATAAAAGAGTTTTGAAAAAGGAAATCGTCTTAGAAATAGAAAAATACCAAATATGGAAGTAGATCTGTAGAGTGTAAAATGAGTCATTGATTATTACTGGGAGTCCATGGTGAGGAAAAACTTCTTGGAAAAGGTCCGCTAAATCACGTCTTTGAGAAAGTTAATGGAAAGTATTGATAGCTGATAGGGCTTTGTGGTTTGGATCATTCTTAAGCCATGTGCCTGGAAAGGACAATGTGCCTATTATTATTATTAAATTGGTAGTATTAAAAATTGAAAAAAAAAAAAAAAGGGAGGTTGGAAGACCAGAAGAAGAAATTGGGATGGAGTATAGATAGGAAAAACAATGTGGATTTCTCAGGAATGTGAAATTGATTTTTAACAGTTTACTTCCAAATTATGAGATATTTAATTCTTATTAGAGGATAGAAAGGTTTAAAAAATAACAAAATGAAATTTGTGTTATCAGCCAGTTTAAGAGAAAAAATTATATAGGATAATTTTTAGAGCTTTTAGAATGACTTTTTTTTCCTTCTTATTCTATGTCCTCTGTGAACAATGTCACAAAGGGAAAAAGGAGCTAATTGCTAATTTCATTACCCAGAGACAGCAGTGCTCATTTGTTGGGGTATATGAGTGGGTGGGTTCCATTTTTCTCATCTGAAGGGTCCATTTAAATCTGTTTAGGAATGCCCCTCTGTGACCTGCCCTGTGTTCTGATGTGCCTAGGTTTATTTTTTTATTTTTACTTTTCTTTGTACTGGGAAATTGAACCCCGGGGTGTTTAACCACTGAGCCACATCCCCAGCCCTTTTTTTGTGTTTTATTCAGAGACAGGGTCTCACTGAATTGCTTAGTGCCTCCCTGTTGCTGAGACTGGCTTTGAACTTGTGAATCTCCTGGCTGCTGAGCTGCTGGGATGATAGGTGTGTGTCACTGCGCCTGGCTCAGTAATAATTTTTAAAGTGTTTGCCATGTTACTGGAAATGAAGATGATAAATAAATAGAGGAAAACAGTTCTTTCCACCTGGGGTTTTACAAACCTACAGGACACAGACAAAACATGCAGAATAAGAATCACGTTGAAAGCCACAAGCAGCATGTAGCCATGAGTCAGGGGTGACATTTGTTTTTGAGCTGGGCAACTCAGGAACGGAAGGTGAAGGACTAACGGGGATCTCAGGCCCTCTGGTGGCAGAGACGCAGATCTTCCCAGCAGGCTGGGATGATGGTGTGCTGGTTATTCTTGCTTTCAGACGTCAAGCCCTCTAACGTGCTGATTAACGCCCTGGGCCAAGTGAAGATGTGTGACTTCGGAATCAGTGGCTACCTGGTGGACTCTGTTGCTAAAACAATTGATGCCGGTTGCAAGCCATACATGGCCGTAAGTCTGGCGGCAGGGGTGGCATCTGAGAATTGAACAGCCTGCAAAATCAGCCTGGGGGAGTGGGAAATGGATGGCTTCAGGGGGTAGTTGAAATGTGCCTAAGACTTGCATCGTTTTATTTTCTTAAATATTTCCTCTCTGAACTCCTTAGTCACTTGCTTCATTGGAGCTCCTTTTGGGCTCCAATAAACTAGATAATATTGATAAAACCAGAGACGTAGTTCTCAGAGTTTTGGACACTAAGTCCAAAATCAGTGTGCTGGCAGATTCGGTCTCTGGTGAGGGCTTGCTTTTCTGATTCATAGATGGCACTTTCTGGCTGAGTCCTCACCTGGTGGAAGGGGTGAGGGATCTCTCTGGGGCTTCTTGAATGAGAGTACTAACTCCTTTCATGGAGCCTGCACCCTGAGGACCTCATCGCCAATTATTAGTGTCTCACAGGTGATTAGGTTTCAATGTGTGGATTTTGCAGGGGCAGGTTCAGAAATATTCAGACGGTAGCATATATATTCCTTTTAAAAATCAGGTAAAAGGGATATATTATTTGAAAACACACGTAAGGAATAGACACAGCCTGCACGGTTTCCTACCCTGAGTTGCAGGGGAGTGTCTCCTAGTTGGCTGAGGACAGATTAGTAAGTAGAACTTAAGTTATACCTACACAGCTGGGTTAGTCATGAGAGAACCTCACAGATCTGAAGATTCATCGCCATTAGCAGAGACATTGGGACTCCATTTATGATATTGTGTTTGGAATTGAAAAGCTCCCTGTCCGTGTTCAGCTAAAGGTTGCCAGGGTCTACTAACACTGGGCAGTCGCAGCCTAGTGACTCTTGTGGATTCTTTTTAATCGGTTCTAGACGGTTAGCATTTTTAACAAGGATAATTTTAGATGGTCAGAGTAGCTTTATAATGCATGCCCCATTTCTTAAGGCAAAATTAAAGTTTGTTGTGAAGGCACTTTGATCCATGACTGTCTCAAAGAAAGGACTAGCAGAAGAAGGAGACTTGGCTGTTTGCTGTGGTGACCTAGTCTTTTGGGCCTGGGAGTCAGGTTAAAGCTTAAAGCAACTCACTTGGCAGCTGTGAATGTCCCTACTCTGAGTCTTAGTTGAGCTATGAATATTGTCTCCATGGTCTTTCCAGTTTCTCAGTTGTCTATCTTCTTTGCAGCCTGAAAGAATAAACCCAGAGCTCAACCAGAAGGGATACAGCGTGAAGTCTGACATTTGGAGTCTGGGCATCACCATGGTAGCGTATGACAATTGTCCTGGGCTGTGGAGGTTCTGAGCCTGCCACTGGAATGGGGTGCGCTTTGGGACTGAGAAGCAAAAGCCCTGCGTGATGTTTTTGAGCATATCTTTTTTGACTGATGTGGCAGGTGGTTTTCGAGTGACAATTATTTGCAGTTTGGTGTACTGGGAATACTTAACTGGGTTTGGGCAAAATGATTTTTCTCTTTGTTCTGCCTCTTCCTAGTTGTATGCCCTTGAGTAACTGGTAGTCCCGTGAACTGTCTTTCTGTCCTCATCTGTAAAGCAAGAGGGTCTGACTAGAGTCCTGGTACCTTCAGTCAAATGATTCTAGTCAAAGCAAGATGCTTACGCCACACAGAGTGCTAATGTGTGTGGACCCTGCTTGGGCTGTTTCCCAGGTCACGGGCTGTAGGAGTCTTGGCTGTTGAGGTCAGGTGTGCCCTAAAGACATGTTAACAAACAGTAAAATGTGCTCAGGCACAGTCCTGCAGTTACGTGATCAGTGTCAAATTAGTAACTGGTGATCATAAATTTTCAGTGTTATCACCAAGGCCTGGAATTATCCACTGTGGTCCTGGCTCCTTTCCAGGCACAGCAGCTGATTAAATCCTGTAAGTTATTTTACGTCCCTGCCCAGAAACCATGTGATCCTGTAACAGCAACTGGGTTACTTTTTTTTTTTTTTTTTCCCTCTCATTTTGCCAAGGGACCTGCAGGTGGCAGCAGAGTTACAGTTCTGCTCTAGAAAATCCTTGTTTTCGTCAGCTTTTGGGTTGCTGTGACCAAAGACCTGACAAGAACAACAACTTACGGGAGGAAAAGATTATTTGTGGCTCACAGTTGCAGAGGTCTCAGTCCACAGGCCCGTCCCATACCTGTGAGCCCAAGATATGAGGCAGAACATCATGGAGACAGGGTATGGAGGAGGAAGGTAGCTCGGGATATTGGCAATCAGGAAGCAGAGAGAAAGCTCTGCTCACCAGGGACAAAGAATAAACCCAGTGACCCACCTCCTACAGCTACACCGCACCTGCCCGCAGTTACCACCTAGTGAATCCATGTCAGTGGAAGAATCCCTTGCTTAGGTCACAACTTTCATAATCTAACCCTGTCACCTCTGAATGCTCTTGCCTTGTCTAACACATGACCTTTGAGGGGGATACCTCATATCTAAACCATAACAATCCTAAAGTTTAATATTGTTGGCTTATAAATTGTTATAAAGTAGCCCAGTGGGTTTTGCTGAAGGACTGGTTTTAGGTAGGTTTCAGTGACTGTCTCTAATAAGGTAATATTGAAAAACCTCTAGCTCTAGGATTTTTTTTTTTGGGGGGGGGAATTGACAGAAAACAGATTACTAATTTGTTTTTATCCTCAAATTATCCATGAACTTCACCTTTGTATTTCCCTCTCACTCTCCTGGAGAGGAACACGGCTAACTCCCGGAGGCATCTCTATTTACACGGCTTCCTCTCCCTTGCAGATTGAACTGGCCATCCTCCGGTTTCCCTACGATTCCTGGGGGACCCCATTTCAGCAGCTCAAACAGGTGGTAGAGGAGCCGTCGCCACAGCTGCCCGCAGACAAGTTCTCCTCACAGTTTGTTGACTTTACCTCACAGTGGTAAGACAGCCCCGTCTCCCCGCTGCCAGGGCTGAGGAAGGTGGTGTGTTCTCATGACTTCCCTCCACTGGGATTGGTCCATTCTGCATACATTCATTCTGGAAGCATCTACGGAGTCTGCCCTCCATGCTTGAGAATAAGATGCCGACATCACAATCCTGGCCCTCCCTAAGCTCCACCAAGTCAAGTAGGGGAGTGTCCTGAGTCAACTGTTGTAGTGCAGTATTACAGTAGGGCAGGTCCAGGGGTGGAGATATGCTTAGGATATTCGGAGAAGTCAGAGGAAAGGCATCAGGACAGAGTTTTCTAGAGGAGATGAATCCTGAACTGAGCCCATGGGAGGCATTCTCCAAGTAGAAGGGGGAGTACGGGAGGGAAGGGATTCTAAACAGAAGGAATATCACACACGATGCCCACAAGCAAGAAACTCCCTTATGGAAGCTGTGAGCAATTTGATGTTGTTTAGAGCATAAAGAGAAACATGGTGAGAATTCCTGGAGGCCCAGGGATGGGGAACAGAGGCAGAGATCTCCTTGGAAGAGACAGTGGTGGTTCAAGGGTGTTGCTGAGCTACCTAGAAGTGTGCAGAATCTTGGCTTCTAGAGAATGCTTGCTAACTGCAGAAGTACTCACCCAGGAGGGCGCAGCAGACAATGTTGGGGATCTGGGAATAGAACCCAAAGAAAGCTGGATTCAAAGAAAGTTGTCTTGGAAAGAGGGAAAGAACCACATTAAGGTGGTCAAGTTTTGTTTTCCATAGAAATTGCCAGTGCCATCAAGGAAAGTAAGAAGGGGGATGGTATTCTCCAGACAATCCAGTGATTCCTACCTGCGGTCTGGCCAGAATGCCCAAGGTCATATGATGATGACCCCTGCAAAGAGGATGCACAGAGGACATCCAAGGTCAAACACATAACAGAACCAAGTTAGTTTATCTGGGCATCTTGAGAAAGCAGCTGAGAATTGGGAGGAAGGAGAGAGTCAGAGCTGGAGGCAGTCGCAGCGGTGCCTCCTGGTGAAGAGCAGTTCTGACCATCACTGCCATGGAGGGTCCTGGAGCTCTGTAGATTCTGAAGGGCACAGGGAAATTGAAGCAGCCTCTTTCTCACAGCATTATTCCTCGGCCTTCTTGCTCTTTGGAAGGAGAGTGTGAATACAGCTTTCATTGGGAAACATGATGACACGAGAAAGGCTCTTGTTGCTTGTGAAACTCAGGCCTGTTGGACTTTTTCTGGTCCCAGGCCACTCTCACCCCGGGTGTTTTCCCTAATGATTTATGAGGCTGGCCCACGGTGGTTTTGGTTTGGTTTTGATTTTGGCTGAATGGCCAGAGAGGGGCTGGAACTCTTGGATATGACACGTTGGGTGTCTCCAAAATAAACATTCTCTGGGCTCTTGAGGTCTGTCCCCTGTCTGCCTTCCTCACGTGAACGGGCTAGATGTGGCGATATATCTGCCAGGTTGAAATGGGGTCATGATTTTGCCTTCTGGATTCAAGAACTTGATTTTTTTTGTTGTTGTTTTCTTTTGCCTTAACCTCAAATGTTTAAATGTCACATAGGAAAAGGGTGAGTCATCTTCGATATTGAGCCCAGTAGTTCCTAGGAGGAGTGGTGATGGGGAAGGTTCTCATCTAGGGAAATTGCTTCAAGCTTGTCTTCCTGTTCCTCTTCTCCCACCCATCCCCCTTGGCCCAGGATTCTGGATACTTTGGGAAACTTTGGTAAGAAGGATGAGGCTGGTGTGAAAAGTTTGGGAAAGAGAGTTTTCCACTGTGAATCACCCATTCAGTCCAGTGGTTCTCAACTCTGGCTTCTCATTTATACATCTCTAACAAACATTCAAAGCACTGTCCCCAAAGCCTCACCATCACAGAGTCCAATCTAATTGGTCTGTGGAAGGACCAATTTCAGTACTTTTCAATGTTCATAAGTCATCCTAATGGACTTCGAATATACCTGCTGAGAATCCTGGGTTTATACGAAAGATTTATGGACCTGCTATCAGTTGCTTCTCGTTCAGAATTGCACCTCTCTGTAATTTTTTTTTCCCCAGGGATGGGGATTGAACCCAGGGGTGCTCTACCACTGAGCTACATCTCCAACCCTTTTAATTAATTTTTTATTTTTGCTGAGGCTGGCTTGGCACCTGCGATCCTCCTTAGCTTCCTGAGTTGCTTGAATTAGAAGCGCACCCCACCATGCTGGCCTGTAGTTTATTAAACAATCATTCAATTAATTGATTTAAGTATCAAAATACTTTTTTTTCTCCAACTTAAAACCTCCTCCAAAGAAATAAGAATGAGATCATTAAAGCTTCTTACAGTATTTAAAAATGAATACATTGAGAGAGGCATGTTTTCTAATGTCAGTGTGTGCACACACACATGCAGAAACTCCTGATGTTGTCATGTTGCTCTTTCTATAGTGACTGCACTGTGTCTATGTTCCTGCTACGATGCCCATATGTTGTCCATCTGAGATCTCCCTATCTTTCTTTTTCTCTCAATTTTAGTTCCAGTTACCATAGTTTATTCGTTCAAATGTTTCGAGTGGTAGACAAGTTCCTACTTACCTGGAAATTTTACTTTGGTAAATGCTGTGTCACTTCATTTACATTCAGGAAGTCAGCTTGTCTTGCTTATGGGGTTTATTAAAGTAGTAATAATAATAGAAACAAAATTCAAATCACTTCAGTTTACAGTCATCAAAGTACAGATTTTTTTTTTTTTTTTATTTTTCAAAGCATCAGTACTATATCTGTGGGAGAAGCTGATACTTTGGAATATTAATTTTGTAAAATAATAGGTCATATTTGTTGATGCGGGGAATTGCAAAATAGCCAAGGAACATTAATTATGAATTTTAGGAGCATGCTTACTTGGACCTTAGGAGAGTGTACCTTCTCCTATTTGTCAATAATTATTTTTCTTTTTGCCTGCTCTCAAGCATCAAGATATTTTCTTTGATACCTCCTCAGGATGTACATCAAACTTTTTAAGGCCTCCGAGTTGAAAATTGCATGGATTTCCCCCCTAGATCTTATCACTGGCTTGGGTATTTATGGAAGCAATTTTATTTTTTATGTATAGTAACATCCGGGTCCATGCCTCCATTCAATAACGGCCTCGCTATTGCACCTGTTTTGCTATTGACAGTTTTAAAGTTGTTCTGGAGCAGAGTGGAAAGAAAGAAGAGGTAACTGTTTCTGAAGAACATCTATTGCTTTTTGTTTTCCTTTGAATTTATAACTGACATTTTTAGAAAACGTAGATTGGGTCACTTGCAATTAAATATCAATCAAAGGAATATTTTACAGGCGTTCCTAAGGAACACCCCTTCCTTGATGGAGAGCAGGACACAGCCTCCGAGCACCTTTTCCTTTATTGCCTCATCTTCCACTTTCCTCTTTATAAAGCTGTAATCTTTATAAATCACCCTTTTTCTGAGTGACTGCCATATTATATTTTTACAACGTAATCAGGCTTTGGTCCTGTGAGTGATAAGGGAACTCCAGATTTGGGAAGTAACATTTTGAATCTCAAATTTCAAGATAAATATATCTCTGTATTTATTTCTTCATCCTTATTTGGGATAAGGGTACAAAAAGGGCTTGTTACTCAGAGCCTAAGGGATCTGTCAGAGCATTGATGACCTTTGGTGGCTTGCATTCCACCCAAGCATTTGAGGGCATCCCAGTGTGGCATCCAGGGACTCAACTTGGACCAGGACCTCAACCTGTGACCTCCACCCATCAGTACCGAGTGATGCTTGTCAGATAACAGCTAATCATGGTGCATGGGGTGAAGTGGCATCCACAGGTGGCTCTGGAGCTCAGAGGTCCAGGTGCTATAATGCTACTGCAATAACTTCAGAGAAACATCTTGAGGAACGAAAGGAAAGTGAAGGCATCATTGCTTATGAACTTGAAGAGAAGCAATGATTCCTTACAGACCCTTCCTTTTTGTACTTATTTGTAAATTGGACTAATGAATGAGATTTTCCATCCTTTTTCTCACACATGGTTTTACCGTAGAGTATTTAAAAAGTTTCTAAGGTAGACAGTGCTGACCAGATAGGCCTTGTTTGGGGGATTCATAATAAACTCTAATAGAAAAGCCTTACAGTCCGATCCACAGAAAGGTTCACAAATGAGTTTATATATTAAAAAAAAAAAAAAGGGCATCTCAGCAGGTTTTTACTTTCCACCACAAGCTCTTCCTACAGGTTCATAGAAGGAAGTCTCTGAAAATCAACTGTAGCACTGTCCAACTCAAAGTAACTAGTACGAAACAGAGACAATCAAATATAGTCTCCGACTTGTTCAGAAAGGACAGCAGAAAGAGGCAGCGGATATTTATTTAGCTTTTGACAAACGGATGGCTTGAGAGGCACAGTGTGTTTTTATTCTGTGGATGCACCAAATAGCCCTTCTTGGAAACAATCGGTGGGAATTCAAATAGGCAGAAATCCTCTGGTCAGCACAATCTTCAAGCTAGCAATTCTCAAGACAGCACGAAGCTGGGTTTTAGTGTCAGCTACGGTCAGAAGCGTGTGTTGTGGCATTTGGAAGAGGAATTAGGGCAGTTAGCTAATTGTATGCTTGAAAATGACAAGCCACTTGAAAATTCAAAAGTCTGACTTTCATCCAAGAAGAAATTGGTGTAGCTTTGAACTCTGCAGTTGTTATTTTATACTGAATTTCAAGCACTTCCTATTAAACATGGAAAATTTGCCTTTTTCCTACCTAACCTTATCCTGGGTATTTGGCCATTCTTAGGGCATGTTTTGAAGTGTTCTCGATTTAAAAGATGGGGAGAAACTCAAAATGGGTTGCACCAGATACAGGAATTCAATAAACAGCGCTGCTCTGCTGTGTGTTTTCCTTGAGTACTCCATTGTGGAGCTTGGGGTGAACTTTGACCTTCACAATCAAGGGCCATAAGCCAAAATGTCACCTATTGGCCAGCAGGCTCTGAGGTTTCAGAAGTCTTAAACACTTTATGATAGAACAACTTGGGGGCTTTTGCTACTTTTTTTTTTTTTTTTTTTAAATAATGAAGATTTTCAAAGAAGAAACTTTTCTGGGGACATTTTCCTCACCTGCTCTGAAAGTGAAGATAAGACATCTAGAATCAAAATCACTTCTACTTAAAAAACGAGAAGCCATCAATCCCTCTTACCTGTTGGGAAGGAAAGGGTCATTTCATTATCTACCAAATAATGAGCTCAAAAATCAGCAGACCCATGAAGATCCTTAGTTGATAAAAGAGGCCCTTGTTTTGACATTTGAGACACGGGCTCTTTCTCTTTGCTGGTCATTCCCTTAGTTCTGTTACTGACCATGAAAACCACTCATGGAAAGGTGGGCAGAGGTGCTCAGTGACAGTGTTTCAGATTCAGTGCAGAGTTAGGGTCTCCAGCGAGATTCCAGAATCAACCCCTTGAATAATGGATGTGGTTTTAATATTGTGTGTGCTTCTTGTTATCGATTTAGCAAGTTAAATTGTTCAGCCTATAGAGAAGAAATTCTGGGTTTTTATTTGCTTTGATGAACAGATAGAAATTTAGGACTTGTATACATTAAACCTTTTTATTTTGTTTTATTTTTTAACTGGGGTCTATGCTCAAGTGAGCAATACCCTGGGACCACATCGCTTCCGCTGGGTTTCTTTCTGTGTGAACTAGCTCTTGAACTTAGGAAAACTTTTGCTTCTGAGAGTAGCCGGTAGAGAAGGGTAGAAGGCAGGAGGTGGCAGTGAGTGACAAATGAATCAGATGGAGAAGATCCTTCCAGGTAAATTCATCTAAGAGGAGATGAGCAATAGCAACCAGGAGATACCCTAGGACCTAAAGCCCAGTTTCACCTGTACTGTGACATTTTAGACAGAATAGTCGTGGGGGACTGCCCTGTGCATTATATCATACTTAACAACATCCCTGGCCTTTACCTAGTAGATGCCAGTGACCCTCTGCACCTAGCTGTGCAACCTCAAATGCCTCCAGATGTTGCCAAATGTCCTTTGGAGGGCAAAATCACCTTCCTTTGGGAACCATTAGTACTGACTCTCAGGATGCAGATGCAGGCAAAGCCATCAATGGGAGTTCCAAGGCTCATTCATTTCACTCAGGTACACATTTCCATTATCAGTCCGACTGTGACAATTGGTAATTCTATCTAATGCACTCTTGTTTTTATCCTCAGTTGAGATGAAACTTTCTCTCATAGGTTGTCTGGTCACTGAGGTCACTAGGTCCTAGGTCTGCCCTCAGTTCCAGATTGAAACTTCTCTCCTCACATCTACCTGTACCCTGTCTCAGGTCCCCTGGCTTCTACCCACAGCACTGCCTGGAATAAACTGGTAGGCTGCTTTTCAGTTGCTTTGGTTCAAAAGCTTTCCTACCCCACCCGCTCTCTTTTTTCATTTCATTTTTTTTGAAGCCCCAGAGTTGCTCAGAGCATCTCAATGACTTCATCCTCTGTGGTTCTGTACCTGGCTCCCTCATTAGGGTGAGTTTGTGTGGCTGGATCAGAAGAGAGCTCATGTCACACATACCAGGTCTCATTGGCTCAAAGATGACACATTAGTGCAAACCCTAGCATCCTTATGATCAGACATATTTCTGTTCCTTTCATTCCAGGCATAATTCTTTTTCATTCATGTATGATTGTGTGGCCCAGTGGGTGCAGGAGGGTGTAGGTGGCCTTGCAAAACATTGTTTTCAAAATCATGGTTCTCTCCATTCTATAACCTGGAATTCCAGCTCCAAGTACACCATTCCTCTTCTTCCTTTTTCTTTTTTTCCATTTTAAGGCCAAGGGTTGGTAGAGGATGGGGTGGGTTGAAGATAGGGGTGATGGGTTATTCTCTTCATCCTGCAATTTTATCACTATGGCCTCTGGTATCCGGGGTTATTCGAAAGCTGAACGATCAAAATGCACTTCACAGTATTCACGATAGTGCACGACCACGAAGTATTTCTGGAAAGAATTGCTAAGTCATGGAGTATGTTTTCCTTTTTATGAACTAAGATGCATAAGCAAGTAGTTTTAGCCTAGAGACTTTATGGGTTTATTTCTTCTCTCTCAGGCAGGTTTGGCTAGGAATATATTGAAGCAAATTATAAATTCAAGAGAACTGGAAGCTGCAAGAACCAAGTTTCATTGAAGACAGTGAAGGGATAACAGATGCATCATAGGAAACACTTGCCGATTTCTTTGCCAGGGGAGGTGGGATTAAAAGCTGCCTTGAAGGAAAGTAGCTATTCATTTTGAAATAGAATGACTGCAGATCAGAAGGGTTAGTCTCAATGTCACTGGTAAAGTGTCAAAGAATAAACACACACACACACACACGCACACACATACTTGTCTTATCAAGGGTGATTTAAAGCATAATTTATCTTTGTAACAGAACAATCAACATAGGAGGTTCATAATTTCAATACATTTTTTTAAGCTGGTTTGGTTCTAGAGTCCTAATGTAGTGATAAATGGTTTCTACATTTTAATGTAATTAATTTCTTTTTCCCCTTAAGCTTGAAGAAGAATTCCAAAGAGCGGCCTACGTATCCAGAGCTTATGGTGAGTGTCAGCCCTGTAAATATACCCAAAGTAATAGCAAGGGAAGTAACTTCAACCTAAATTATGGTCAGATAACCACATTGGAAGAGATATGATTGATTCATGGGAACACTCATGACAGGAATTGGACTCAAGAAAAAGAGTGAAGAACCTTTCATTCATCGTATGTCCTTTATAAACATAATAAAAGCCTTTACCCTAGTTGATTAAGCTATAATGATATGGACCAAGAGTGTTTATGAAATTTATATTTTCAAATTTAAAACCTACTTGTGGTCACAAAGTACTATAAAAAATGAAGGAAAGCATGGCCTTCAGAGTTTTCAATAATGAGAGGAAGAGGTGCTGTGTGCCTACTCAAATTTTGATAATATATCCAGGATGAATTAGATGAAGTTCTTTTGGGTGGGTTGCTAGGGAGGAAAGAATCACTTTTTTTTTTTTCCCTCCTCCTGTTTTTCATTTTGGTGAAAAGAAGTAGGAGACAGTATTATGAATTGGATTCTACGATCTGGCATTCACAGTTTGTCATTTGCTCTACAGTGAAAAGAGGGATGGAATTCAAAGCTCAGCCTTGTTTAGAATTGTTTCTCTTCCCTAGTTGTAGCTGCCACTTTAGGTTATTACCAGAGGGTCTTTGGTACAGATGGCAAAGACCTAAACTTGGCAGTGCTCTAAGTGTCTTTTGAATGTGGGAGGAACACATTAGGTGAAGGGAATATCACACAATTCAGACTATGGTATGAATTGGTGTTAACTCCTCCCTAGACTTTACCTTAAGCAGGGGAAGGAAGAGTTAGATTCATGTGCAATTTCAATAAAGAGAAGAGCACACGCAGACATCCCTTTTTACTGGAGCATGGTGATGTGGCAGGCATGGGATGCTTCCTCCCATCCTGTCCCACCCACGCCTGTCAAAGCCAGCCCAAGGACATCACAGAATGTGTACATTCCTGGCATCTCTTACCAAATGGTGTGGTGAGGGGGGCTGAGATATTTCCTGACTTGGAAATGTCAAGTCAGAAGGTGCTACGGGATCTGGTTGAGAGGGTGTGTGATCAACAGGGCCACCCAATTGGATTTTCAATTCTGGTGGATATGCTTTGGTTTAAGTCTGGACCCCATTTTCCTAATGGATGAACTTGGGCCTCCATAGTCTCCTTTAAAGGGCAGTGCCCTGTGCTTGACACTGTATAGCTTTCCTAACTGAGACCCACAATTGAGGAAGAGAAGATGAGAAAACAGCATTCTATATGCTTGGGTTAAATATTTCCTCCCTGACTATGTTTCTAACAGCCAGAGGCCTTTCCAGTCCTGGCTACTCTTTTGTGGTAGTGTGACACCTAAGCCCTTTTAAAATTAATTTCACACAAAGTTCAATAAATGTAGAACGATTCCTATAGGATCTTATGGAATCTGTAATCCTATTTTAAAATCTCCTTGTTTTATAACTAATTTTGGATAAAAGAAGAACTTTCAATATAGTTCTCTTTAAAATGTAGGACATTTTTTTTTTCTTCCAGATAACCTATTATAAGAAAGTTCATTAGAACACATTAGAAAAAATTCAGGCTTAGTGTACATTGGCAGGGAATGTTGACTTCTACCTTTCCAGTATATTCTAACACTGTGGTATGTTTTGGCATACATATCAATGTTGTAAGATCATGTGGGCTCCCCCCACCCCTTTCTCCTTATGGCATTAGTCTTTGTGGTCCTGGAAATGAACTTGCCTTTTAAGACCATAACTATTGCCTGCTTTCCTGTGGAATTGAGGTTTTTAAATGGAAAATCTGAGTCCAGACTCCCTGACTTCAGCATTGGGAAACACGTGCTGGGAGGCTATTGTTTAGATTTTTAGGAGTTTGTGAGGAGGTCGGAGAGAAAGGAATCATTTTTCCAGATGAAGGACAGTGTAATTAAGGCCTAAACCAGACATGTACCACTTATGGAAATCCCAAATGGCTTTCTCCTTAACTCAGATTGAGGGCTATCTGTGCTTTAAAATCATCTTCTCTGCTTGTTCTCCCAAACTTCAGCTGGAGGCCATGATTCTACAGGAATTGTTCTTCAAGTGTCAGCATTAGCCAACTAGATAGTGTTTTAAATTCTGTGGGAGCTACAGCTGCTAGTATGACTCTGGAAATCTGCTGTTATAGCCTGAAAACAGCCATATTCATTATATGGGGGGGAAAAAGGGGTGTATGTGGTTGTGCTCCAATAAAACTTTATTTTAAAAAACAGGACGTGGGCTAGAGGTGGTCAAGGGCTGTCCTTTCCTAACCCCCTCCTAGATGATAACCACCATAAGTGGTAACCAGATCATTCAAGTGATTGTCCCATGGGGTCATTATGTTCTCCAAATATATTAAAAGTACTAGAGTAGTAAACAAGGATGCCTTTACCCCAGAAAACATGTTTTTTTTTAAATAGTAATTTTTTAAAATAATTTTTTTAGTTGTAGGTGGACACAATACCTTTATTTTTATTTATTCATATGTGGTGCTAAGGATCGAACACAGTGCCTCACACACACTAGGCATGAGCTCTACCGCTGAGCCACAACCCCAGTCCCCAAAAACCATCATCTTGACAGCTGAGATATGCATAGGCTCTGGAGACCTATTGGAGATGTAGCTTGCCCCTTTGCTTCTGATGGTGTGTCCGTGGACGGCCTTGCTGACCTCTGCCTCTCACACCCATTTCCAAGCCTGGGAATGAACTGAAACATACCTGAACATTTGTTTTTAAGACTGTAGTTTGGCTTGTTTAATTCATTCACACATTCAGGATACAGCCACTGAGCTAATAGCAGCAGGACAGAGGTGGGGGACGGGGGCTGGCTGGCATTAGAAGTGATCACCAAGACAATCTGAGGTTTGGTGTGTCCTGTTTCGATAGTAAAAAGGCTTTTAAGTACATTAAACATCTCCGAATGTTAAGGGAATGTGGGAAAGCTAAAAAGCATGATGTGAAGGCACTTGGTAAGTGCGCTGTGTTACGTGGGTTAGGAGTGGAAAGTGGTACTGCTGCTTGGTAGTTGAGGGAGGCCAGGATGAGAACCTTGCCTCTGGACTCTCACTGAATATTCTGGTGTCCGGCTCAGAGCCGGTATCCAGCCCGTATTCTCCAGCTAAAGCAGGAAACCTCCTTTCCATTTTCTGAGTCACAGTCCTTGCAGAAGAACCTGCTTTTTTTTTTTTTTTTTTTTCCGTTTTCTTTGTTCCTTCCCCATTGCATTGTTCCCTAAACTCCCATGGGTGGGCATTCAGTTCCCCACAGAGCTGACTCATCCAGCCCTCTACTGTCAGGTTTAAAGAATTATAATTAGAAAGCCAACAGCTCGGCAGGCAACATGATGGCTGTAAATGAAGTCCCCAAGTTAGGGAAACAGAGTGAGTCACCCAGATGTCTGCCTGCTAAGTGCTCACATTTAGTCCTGACCAGCCATGGCAAATACTACTACCAGACAGTTGGGGATGTGGGGGTGGTGGTGGAGGACGTGGCACTGGCTACCAGAGGGAATCCCCCCTTTGAGTTGGTTTGATTGGGTCTGTCTCTACGAGGAGTCCCGTGGATCGTGATCTGGTGTATCTCTAATACGAGGTGGACGGTCCCCCCATGACAGCCAGGCAGTTCAGGAGGATTGTTGTTCTGGCATGGAGAAAACGGGTTGGTGTTCTAAATTGTTCCTGAATGTGTGGCCTCTTGCTGTCCCTCACCTTTTCCCCCAGCAAAGTGCAAGACTTCATTTTGTTTTTTTAAAGTCTGCTTAGTCTGAGCTGCATGCATACAGACCATGCTTCCCTTTCCCATCTTTAATCTCCAAGTTGAATTTACTCGGCACATACCTGTAGCTGGTAGTTTATTTCCCAGATGGATCAACTCTTGGTCAAGAAGAGACGTGAGTCGAACTCTTGGCTGTAGGTATGGCTTAGAAAATGGCTTTGACTTTGTCCTGACTAGCCCTCCAAAGTCAAGGGCCAGGTTGCTTCCTTGCACAGTCATGGATCAGCAGAGTTGGTGTCTTAATTCTACTACCCATTTCCTGAGACATGAAAATACCTGAACCTCTGGAGTTTCCAATTATTTTATAGCTCTATCAGTCTAAAATGACTTTTTAGGGGGCCAAGTTGTAAGTCAGAGTGTTAGATAGATGGTCATTGCCAATCTTTGTAGTTGACTATAGATGGGATTTGTATAGCATATTTAATATTTTTTAAAAAATAAAGCCATAGATTCTTGGGGTGGAAACCTAGAGATATCAAAGTGGGAGGAGTGGAAGTAAAGGTGTCTTTAAGGTCTTTGCATCCCTAGATATGTACTTATTTTGGAAAGGGTAGGAGGGATCTACCTTCCCCCTGATAGGGATACATAACTCATTTATTAAACAAATTTGTTCATTTGCTTATCTCATGTATTATCAGTGACAAATATTAATCCATGCTTTTTTTCTCTTCTTTCTCAGCAACATCAATTTTTCACCCTACATGAATCCAAAGCAACAGATGTGGCATCTTTTGTGAAATTGATTCTTGGAGACTAGAGAGCAATGGACTTAAATTGGTTGACCCTACTGTGGATTGGTGGGTTTATGGGATGAAGCAAGTTCACTACAGCGCCAAGAGAAAGTCATCTTTGAGATAATTTTGCCCTGCCTCTCTGAGGGTTCTCTCTCTCTCTCACTCTTTTCTCTTCTTTTTCCCCTCCTAAGGGGGCCTTGGAATCTATAGTATAGAATGAACTCTCTAGATGGATGAAATATGATAAAGGCTTAGGACTTAAAAAGGTGATTAAATATTTAATGATGTGTCATATGAGTCCTTAAGCTTCTCAGATTTCTCTTGTTCTTTATGGAATGAATGCATTGGCCCTGGCAAAAAGGTGCTACAGTAGTGATGAAACTGTAAGTAGATTTGTAGTTTGTCCCATTTATTATTTTAATATTTATGTTTAAGCGCTTGGTTGGAAAGATCCCACTTTACACAAGAAGACAAGGTTGGGTTGGCAATATTTATAGGGCTTTTATTTTTTAAGTTCGATCATGTCTATGGTCCAGAAGAAATTATTTAATATGCATCTTTAAGAATATTATAAAAAATCTCAAAAAAAAAAAAAAAAAAAAAAAAAAAAAGGAGCTCTTCCTGTGAAATGTCTCTTCCTCTCTCCCAGACTTCAACTCCATGTTGGGTGATGACCATGTGTTTTAAGTGAGGTGTTGAGGTATCCTATTCCTGATCTTTTTCCAAATTTGGAAAACATAAAAATCACTTTTATCACAGCTCAAAGAAATAAGTTTGGTTCTCTTGACATTTGTGGTATAGTATTCAGTGGAAAGTGATTTGTGATGTGATTTTATATCTACCTGTCTATCCATCTCTGTGTGTGTGTGTGTGTGTGTGTGTGTGCGCACTTGGTAAATCAAGTTCCACCAAGGGGCCTCTGTGAACATCTGTATTCTGTAGGAAGGTCATGTGTTGGTCATGAGGAGAGATTGCACACCACAGAGAGAATCGCGGTGCCTTCTTCTGCTTCTGGTCCTCTTGCCGTGGAGACGCCCCAAGGATGATCTTTGTAATCAATTTGCTTTTTTCCATTTGCTTGTTTTCCTGTTCAATGAAGAAGCCTTATTATGAGTGGAAGGGCTACAGCTGTAGAGAATTAAAGGCTGTCAGTTGTTCCATGATACAATGAACAGGTAATGGAAGGCTGAATCAGTTCCTAGGTACAGACTGCTCCATTTCCACACCTTGTTCCTAAGCAGCTGGCAATCTAGCAAGCTCCACCCTGAATTCCAAGCAGGTTGACTTAGTGAAAAAAAAAAAAAAGAGTTCTTTGCCATGGCTAAAGACACTACAGGTGTCTGATATGGGGCTCTTGATTTCTCAAGGACCAAGGGGTGAAATGATTGATGGAGAAAATATAGACTTACACTAGTAACTAGGAACCAATTCTTTTGGACATTGTGTTTATATAAAGTAACTCTTGGAATACAAAGACAAAGGATGTTGATTGATTAAAAATAAAAAAGGAGAAGAAGAAGAAGAAAGAAAGGAAGGAATGAAGGAAGGAAACTATGCTTTCTTTCCTTGTCTCAAGTTCTCTGATCTGGAGAGGATTGCTCCTTCAAATCCTCCTTCCCATTTCGGATTTTTGAAGTGCAATAGTGCATTATCTGTTTGTATTGTTCTGTCTTGTTCTTGACCTCTTGCTCATGGAAGTTGCTCAGAGTTGAGTAGGACACTTTCATTCCTTCCTCATATTCTCTTTTGGGACATATCTGTTTGATTCAACATTGGCTTCATCTGCTTCAAAGCTACCTCTGCCTTCATTTTTTATTTATTTCCTAGCCAGAAAAGGTGCATTATCCTTGTAATTAGAGCCATTCAGTTTCCCACCCACCTTTCTAAAGCTGGAAGTTCCTCTTCTTTGAGACTGAGAGAAAAATTGCAACTTTATTCCTGCTCTGTTTACCCATTTTATGAAATCAGAAAGTACTAGGAAAGTCATCTAGGGTCACTCTATTATAGCTTTCTTTCTTTTCTTCTTCTTCTTCTTTTTTTTTTTTAATGGGTGGTAATATTGTAGATTGAACCCAGGGATATTTTACCGTAGAGACCCACACTCCCACTCCTTTTTCTTTTTTCTTTTAAGACAGGGTCTTGCTACGTTGCTGAGGTGGATCTCAATCTTGCAATCCTCCTGCTTCAGCCTTCCTGGTTGTTGGGATTACAGGCATTATGCCACCACGCCTGGCTTTGTTTTAGCTTTTGCTAAAATGTAGGAAGCAAATCATCTCCCTGGCCTGCGTCAGGTTATGCCTGCCTGTTTGTCTCCTTTGAATCATTCTTAACAAAAAAAATATGTTTCTCATTTGTATGCCTCTCTAATCTGTGGGCCCAGGGCCAGAACTGCCAAAACAGTCATAGTTGAGTAGAGAAGGTGGTCTGTGGTTGTCAACCCTGGTACACTATGGAACTCTGGAGGAGCTTGTACATACTGTCAATGCTAAAGCCCCACAGCCACCAGAGACCTAGATTTAATTGGTCCATGGTGAGGCCTGGGAATTGGGAGGTTTCTCAAGCCCTTGTGTGATTCGGAAGTGCAGCAGGGTTGGGAACATTGGACTAGTAGTACCTTTTAGGGAGATAACCGACTTAAAATCACCTTCTCTTTAAGTTTTGCAGAGACTTACAAGCGATTATAAAGAGGAAAAAAAAGCTGCCGTTTCTTTTCCTGTCCTCCCCCTTTGGAATATCCTTGTCACCACCAGGAAGCCATGTTCCTGGTGATCTGAAATTTGAAATACCTTTTCCCCAGAAAAGCAGTATTCTACGGTGGTGGTGATTAGGTATCTCATGTACTAAGGAACAATGGCTCGATAGCCCTAGGAGTCTAAATTTTAAAGCCTGGTTTTTATTTTTCAAGAACCACGTGTAAATCCTTAACAACCGACTTAAAACGACGACAACAACAAGATACACAAGCTGTGTCTGTCAGGAGTTTCTTGTATATACAAGCAGATATGTATATAGAGAGGAAAAAGATATCTGTATTCAGGAATGAGACTCAGATTATTTAATTGTCTGCCACCACAGGCCATCTCATTATCAGCTCTGTATGTATCTATCAATGCATTGCAGAATCAGTATAGCTCTACACCAGGGGTCATGCTCATTTTTACAGAGGTATTTGATTTGGTATCATATAATTGTCTGTGTATGCATTTTCTTGGTATTTGTGAACATACCCGTCTGTATCCCTCTCTCTGCATGTGTTGTTGATTTAAAAGATGTGCCAAAAACCTAATGTGAATGATTTTTAAGACAATTACTATATGTGTGTATCTAATAATGAGTGTTGATCTTCAGAGTAGCTACCTTGAGAGACTATATATATATATTTATATAAATACTTTTACTAAAATATTTTTGTAATTCTCTTTCCAAAATTTATTTCCTCCTCTATATCATTACTTTAGAATTACTGCCTTTTTTTCCCCCCAAAATACTAGGTTGTCTCCAGTTTGACTCACCTGCCTGGTTTATCTGATTTAGCACCAAGTGGTGTTTGGCAATTTCTAGAAATTAAATCTGCTCTCAGAGCTGAAGTTTTTAACATCACCATCGTCTAATAGGCTTAGAAGAGAATTTCAAATGAAAAATTTGCCCCATCCTTCCCAAAAGTTATGCCTGTTTTTAAGCACAAACAACCTTTTGTAATAAGTTTAGGTCTCCCCTTAGTGGCTACTTTGATGGAGGAGGAAAAAACTCACATAGATGTATATATTGACAAAATATCAAGACAGTCACTGACTTTATACATGGTGTTCACCTATTAGCCATGATTGAAAGCCTTGACCTGAAGGAATGATCCATTATTTTAAAGATTGTATGTGATTACACTGAGAAGCTCAGAACCAATTGGTTACACCATAGCTTTTGTCTCAGTGAAGCCATCTGAAATGGAAATGAGTACATGTGGATCCAGCTCAGAATTGGTTGTGTATTTCAGTTCTTGTGTGTCCTCCAAGCCTAAAGAAAAGCTCGCATGTTCCAGGGGCTCCCAGACTTTCTGTTTGTGACACCATTAGTCGACTTAGTAATTTTTTCAATGGTGCCCTTGCCCCAAATACTTAACAGTTCAGTATTTGAAGTAATTATGTTCTAACAGTTTAACAGTCGTAGTTTACTCTGTGTCCTGCAGATGTCGCTCTGCTTCCTTCAAAATTTATACAACATCTTAGCTTGTTTGTACAGTTTGCAGCAGGCCTCACAATATCTCAGTGAACAGTTTGCGGACCAGACATCTATGCTCTGCTGATGTTTGCTCTGTCTACACTTAGTGACCTTCAAAGTCAAGTTCTTGTTCACTCTGGTCTCTATATTATTTTGCTCTTTGTCTTGTTATTATTTTTTGCCTGTTTCTGGCTAATTCACTTTTTAATGAGATTTACCCCCCCCCTTTTTTTGGCTATAATTCATCAGTTCTGCTTTGTCAGATGTTATAATCCACAAAATAGAATCAATATTGATAAGCCCCAGCATGAGAGAAGGCTAGTACAAGACAGGATCTCTGAATTTTCTAAATGAAGTTGATTTAATGTTTGGAATTTAATCAGAGAGGGACTAATTAGTTTTGTAATTGTCTTTGTTGAGCAAGGGACTTCATTATCTCTGCTTAGAGGAAGTTTTCTGTTTCTCTCCAAAGTGTCTAACACAAAGCATCTTTGGCCTGAAAATACAATGAATAACTAGTTCCTAATTTCCCACTCAAATGTTCTTTTGCTATGTAATTCCCTCTGGCCTAAAAGTAAGATTCCTATATTCATAAAATGCTTTGTAGCTGATATTCAGATCAAGTAAAATGAGTTAAACCTTTGTGCATGGATTTGGACTTCTTAAAATCTATGATGACTTCAAGGAATCTTCTACTTTTTTTTTTTTTTTTGAATTAACAAGTAAAAATGGAACTCAAGTAAATGTCACCTTAGAATTTTTATTTATTTTTTTATAATGGAAGGTATAGTTTTCAGTTAGACCCCTGAGAGAAAACCTACATATTCAGATGGAAAAATGCCTGATTAAAATCTCAGAAGAGAAAGCCACCAAACTTAATGGATAAAAAAAGAGAGATTTTATTCTAGAAGTTACACATTCCTCTTTCTTAGGGGTCTGTGTGTGTTTCAGCCTTGTTAAATTTACTGACAGCTAAAGATCCTCTCTGATTTTTCTTTGGTTTTCCTTGGAGTATTCTGGATTCCTTTGGGAATTTTTTAAAAGCTAGGACCTTTTCCCTAGGAAAATGCACATCATACACGAAACACATAATTTTGCAAATATTTCTTTGTTGGGGACAGTTCCCTTAGGATCAATAGCTTTGTTCTTTATAATGTGACTGTGACATCTAAGAACAGATTGCCAGTCTTTCTGGGAAGGGCCAGACAGTATGTATTTTTGTGTTTCATATGGTCTTTGTTGCAACTACTTGGCTCTGCTGCTACAGTGTGAAATTGTCCAGAAACAATACATAAATGAACATGGCTATGTTCCAATAAAACTTTATTTATAGAACCACGCAATGGGCCAGATTTGGCCCACCCATGATGGTTTGTCAACACCTGTCTTAGGCCATCAAACACAAAGTTCTAATTGATTACACAAAATAGAATTTTTCTACCTAGTGAATATTTAGCTCAGCTGTTGCCAAAGGCAGATTAGGAAGATGGACATAGGAAAATTAATTCATAAAGGACGGAGACTGAATTAAAGTTGTCTGTTAGTTTCCTTATGCAAGCATTAATTGTTCTAGAAGCCATTGGAATAGTTTTCTACAGATTAAACTGAGTGCTTAAACTTTCCATTTCTATGCAATCACTACATAACTGACTTCAATTTGGATATGAAAGGCACATTCTCTTAGGTGTTAACTGTACCCTTGGTTCTTAGCTTCTTCGTATTTTCTTTTGCTGTGCTATGAATCACATGCAAAAAGAATCATGAATCCTAATCATTTTTGAACTGTAGTGGGATTTGGGAATGTGGTTGACCAAACTTCACTCAGAAGTAGGAGACAGATATAGTTCTTAACATCTTTCAATTCATCCACCTCATCTGTAAGGTTGTTTTGGGGTCAAAATACTTATGGTCAGGGGGCCTCAGAGCTGCAGGTTCTCAGTGTGATGGGAGACTCCTGCCCAGCCAGCCCTTGTACAGTCCATCCCCCGTGGACTTGGGGGGGAGTTGCTCTTCTTTTTAAATCATCAGCAAATTTCTGTTTCAAGGGCCTGTTCAAAGTACTTCTTTCTGATGTGATGTTTGCTGGGTTTTCAGCCCTGGTTGAACTTCTGGGCCCCAAAGCCCATGGTGACAGCTCTGCTCCCCCATAGGCTGAGAACAGCTGGATAGTGGGCCTCAGTGTTCGGGTCTTGGATCCTCTGAGTTATACAGAGTGCTGGCAGATGATGTCAGCCATTGCCCTGAGCTTTCTTCTTTCTCCTGGATCAAAACAGAACACATCTTAAAGCTTTAGTCTCTTTATTATTATTATTTTCCTTCTGCATCATCAGGTGAACATAAATGACACTAGGAGACTCCTTAAGAGGGCATTGGACTAGGTGATTTACCTTGAAAAAGGATTTCTCTTCTCCTAAGGACACACAACCTGAATCCCAGAGACCTCAATGAAATTATCCTCCCAGGGGAAGCTTACTGCCACCAAATCCAACACTCACTACTTGTTTCTGGTGACGACAAAAAAGAGGTGTCCTTTTTCTGAGGTTAGAAGTCACTATTTGCAGCTTTGCCAATGTCCTTATACCATTGCAGGTTTTCCAATTGAGTCCTTGGGAATCAAGACTTTAGTTTGGGTTCATCTTTTCAGTTCTTAACCCCCCAATTCTTCTAAAAGCCTCTTTCTTTTCTTAAGTTAAAAGGACTTTAGTCTAAGCAGAAATACAAAGAAAGGTCAAGGAATTTTTGTTTTGAAGAAGCCGGTATGTCCTTGTAACACAAACATGTTAATAGAGTTTTAAAGTATTCAGCCTAATTCCTTGAGACTTTCAGTATCTTGTCATTTGAACTTGGGCCCTGCACCCTTTGTTTTGAGGAGTTTACAGTTAGAATTTGAGATATGGACAGGTTTTTATCACTGTGGGCTGTTCATCCCGGCATGCTCTGGGTTTCCTCCATTTTACACTTCAGTGCTCCTGAGGTCAGGGTCTCTTTCCAGCAACGAGGCTTTTATGGTTGGAGATCGAATTCAGGGAAAGTGAGGACAAGGGTAGGTACTTACCTGTGTCTTGATGTCGGAAACAGAGCTTCCTCAGTGATCCCCAGTGTGGGTGGCTTAGGCCAGGCCAGCAGCCGTCTTCTGTCCTCTCTCATGGTCTTTCCTTGGCTTTCGTCCTGGGAGGGTCATAGGTGACCTGAGCTGACTTAACATTTCTGTGCAAAGGAACTCATCTGGTCATTTTCATAGACCAATCATTAAAACCAACAGTTGTGCACCTGTCTGTCTAAATGAAATCCACATTGTTCCCAGTTTTTGAAAACATAAAGGATACCTGGGAGAACTAGTAAAATCGTCAAAAAAAAAAAAATTCTCATTTGAAACCAGAGTCTTTAGAATAAGAACTTCTGTTTGGTCTTTTCAGCAGAGTAGCTGATTGGGCATCCTGTTCTCTTAAGTAATAGTCTGTTGTGGTCAGAAATGAATAATTAGCATCACTTGCTCATTACCAACATTTTCATTGGAATCACCAATATATTTCAGCAAAGCAAATCAGACCACTGTTTTAGGTGATTGTCACTGGACTTGAGAGATCAAGGCTGAACAGGAATGTGAAGTCATGCCTAGGGGCTGGGAGAAAAGATTAATGCAAACAGTGCTGTTCAATTAGGAAGCCCTTGGAAGAGCAAGCTGACAGACAGGTGTGCCTTTGAATTTACTTGCAGTATTACAGCATGGTAGACATCATCTCTTATGGAAAAACTCATCAAGAAGGTCAGCCTGTATTATTACTTTTTTTCTTAAAAAATACTGAACTATATAAAGATTCCAAGAGTGACCTTTATTGAAATGTCAGGAATTTTGTTTGTTTGTTTCTCTAGTGTTGTTGATTCTAAAGTTTTGCCATTCTACACTGATGGCATCTACCCCAAAAGCCAACAGAGGCATGATCAGATGGCTGAGGACAAGAAGCCTGATGTTGAAAGTACTTTAAGAGCATATGGCGCACCCATCAGCTGCTTTCAGAGTAGAGAAATGTGAATACAAAATCTGAGCCCATAACCTTCAGTTCAGATGACTGATCTTTGAGGAAGGGTGGATGCCAAGGAAAGTTCTCGGAAGAGGATACTTTCTTTCTTTTTTTTTCCTCACAAGGCAGATTGCTGGAAATGTTCTTAGAAATACACTACAGGTGTCTGCCAGGAGAACGAGAGTAATTGTAAAGTCCAGTACTCAAGGCTGATTTGGATTTTCGGAAGCAGCAACTTGGGGAGAAGTAGTTGTTTTATTTGGTTCTCTTCTGATGTCACCTTGTCTGTCCAATCCTGTGTTCAGTACTTCTGAAGGCAGTGGTTTCAGGCCATGTTCAGTGGTGCCCTTGGAGGAACCTTTAGGGGAGAGGTGGTGGTAAAGTTCAGCTGGGCCCATCTGAGTGTCCATCAACCTCCAATTGGAGCTTCTGGCCACCAGTATTGGTCCCTTTAACTGGAAGCCTCCATGATTACTAAAGCCTTGGGAAGGAAATGACCACCTGAGGACCCTGCACATCCCCAAGCCTGTAAAATCTTATAGTTGACCATGTCTGCAACACCCCCCCAGCCCCCCCTTTTTTTTTTTCTTTCTCTATTGAGTATGCTGACAGGGCTAGGGAGGTATGGCAGCAAGAAGAGAGGACCGTTCATTTTAATTTTTAAACAGAAATTATTTCAGAGTAAATGCACAAAATCAATACCAAGCCATAGGGATCCTGAAATAGGTTATTTTCCTAAAGTAGTTGAGAACACCCTGATCCTCATTTACTCTCCCACTGATGGGGAGTGGTGTGACTGGATTCTTGATGGACAGTATAATTTTTAAATTTCCAGGTTTGCAGAGTCAGGGGTTAAAATTTGTGTGCATTGGCCTATAGGAAAACTCAAGTGCTTGGGTCAATTGTGATACAGCCTGGGCTCCTGAGATGGGAGCTAACAGAGCTCCTCTTGCTTGCTGTTACAGAGGTGCTGTGTGTGGTGAAGGATGCAGAAACTCTTTGGCAAATAGAAATGGGAAACTTCAGCCGTGTATGTGTCAGGAAGGGAGCACAAGGGAATGTTTAGACACCGACTAAATCTTTAGGTGCCTTCTACATACACATAAAGGTGGGTGGTAAATTCTGGCCCTAATATGTTTGCCACTAAAGGAAATTTCACAGCTTGGGTTTCACAGAGCTATTTTGTAACAATAGGTACATCATAAAGTTGTATTTGAGCAACAATCTGAAGCATTCTGGGCAATTTTCTGTGTACAACCTATGTGAGAAGGTTTGATTGAGAAAATTTGGATGATTTATCTGTTGTATTACCCCTGCGTCTGATTTATTTCTTTGTCTCAAATTTATTTTCTGAATGGAGTGATTTTTGTATATGAATTGAAATGTCATTTTAATAGATTATTTTTAGAGGAAAAATATTTTCTTTGCGTAACGAACTTACACAGTAAGAACGTGTTTCCTACTCTGCAGAATCATCAAATTGGGTCATTTTAAGGCTGACCAGAGGTGTTAGAGGTGTAGTTTTGAATTCTTTATTTAAATACAGGAAAAGTTTTTTTTATATATATATTTTGTGAAAATAGATGGTAGACAGAGCTTCTCTATGGATCTGAACTTTACAAGAATTTTAATAAAATAGGTGGACTTCCCAGCTTCCTCTGTGCTTCCGTTTTCTAGATGAAAATGCTGCTTCTGTTTATTAATCTAGTCTCTGTGAGAAAAGAAAAATCAACACCTTTTCTTACAGTCTGTGGGTTTTATCATAGACAATTGTATTTGTGTGTATGACCAATCGTTCTCCTATGTTGCACCTGAATTTTGTTTTTAAGCCATGTTTATTGTAAAGAAAGCTGGTTGGGCCAGTACAAGCATGTCTGATGCTAGAAGGAAGTAATTCCACCTGCTAGTTAAGAGCCCCCTACCTCTTCTTGCTACCTGAATGATTCTGAAAGCAGATCAGAGAGGTTGTGCACACCTGTCCTTTGTAACTCACACCTTTAGCACTTCATCTTAGTGTCTCTGGAGAGTTTGAAGTTGAAGAATGAACAGTGATTTCCCTGGACTCTCTCCATCTTTGCTGCCCTGTGCAGCGTGCTGCTGAGCTTCCCCGGTTGGAATCATCTCTTTTCTGTGGGTCGCGGTGTCTTTTCTTTATGAATGAGGTGGGCTGAGTTGTAGAGTATGGAATTCATTAGAAGCTTCTCTACAGGGAGGACCTCTGAAGCATGTGGGTGGAATGTTTCCATGCCTCTAAGGTGAATGTTAAATTTAAATTCCGGCTCTGGGAACTTTTTTTTTGCTTATGAGCTACAGAAGTGAAGAAGAAACTGGGGTTGGGGGGGTGTGGATTTGGTGTTTTCCTATATGGAAACAGGTGGGGCAGACTTCCTCAGGGGAGAACCTCGCCCATCATCGTGTGGGGGAAGGGAAGTGATGAATGTCAGATGGTAACTTCTGTGTGCCCCAGCCTTGTACTGAAAACACACCTGTTTTCCAGGACGGTACAGCTTTTTGAGCTTTGCCTATTGACTGTGGGAGCCCCAGATATTCTCATGTTAGCCTGACTTTCCTGTTATCTAGGTTGTGAGCATTTTCCTCACTTTGGAACTCTGGCTTATCATGATGGGGATGCTGTCTCAAAATCCTGAAACCGAGGCGATAGCCCATGCACAGGGGCTTGGAGTAGACACAACATTGGTGTTGATGTAGCTTATGTATTAATAAGAGTTCCCAGAAACAGACGGGATTGTGGGAAAATGTGGCTTTAAAGAAATCTTGTTAGTTTATAACATTTGGAGCAGCTGCTTTCCTGGGTTGCTATTCTTTAGGAAAAAAAAATCGTCTTTTCACACAGATGGTACTGATGGTATCCATAACAGCCTGGATTGACGTCTATCAGTCAATAAGCGAGGAATTATAATTTTTGCCTTACAAGTATATAGGCCATTCTGTGATGAAATTTCCTATCACGGTATTGTAAAAAAAGCATAACTTTATCTTTCCCGTCTCCTTTTCCATCTAAGAACCCATTAAAGGAAGAGTAAGCTTTTGACGAACTTTGAAATATTTCTTTGAACCTGTGTTTTTGACCAAGGAAATGACTGAGATGCCAAACCAAGTGGTTTGTCACGTGGTTCCTAAGGGCTCCCCCCTGCATCTTTCCTCTCACCACCCCAAAAAGGAAAATGAAATTGGGAGACTAAGTCAAACTTGAACTCCTCTGTTGACGAGGAGCCTTCACTTTGATTTCCTATCTCAGGACATTCTTCAGTTTCAAACTGCTGCTGGGGAGGAAGGACCAGCTGCCAACCTTGTAACTGGTCTCCAGATGTTTGTGCGTGTGTATGTAAAACTTCACACCGTGTGTGTTGTGTTCAATGTCGTGTCAATCTATGAACTGACTCAAGCAACCGTTTAAAGATAGCAATGACAGTGATAATGACAAAAAAAAAAAAAAAATCACCCAACCAACTCTCTCTGTCAAAGTGTTGGCTGTGAACTTTCATAGCTGGGACAAATACTATCCATCAGCCTTCAGGAGCAAGGTGTCCCTGAAAGAAATAAGAAATGGTGTGTTGATCTCATAAGAAAATGTACAACGAATAAAAGACATTTGGAAAAGCGAGTCTGTCTATTCCTTGAATTGTGTGTGGAAATCCTGGGTTCTGGGAATGCGATGCTTATGTGTATCAGGCCCTCTGGGGGAAAGCGCCTGGCTGGTTATTCCTTCATTCTTTCTCTGCTCTTCTCCTGTCTCTACCATCCCATTTCCAACGGAGAGCAGAACAAAACACAGCCACACGGTTAGACGAGTCCAGTGAAGACGCATTCGGAAGCCATTCCATCCGGGGCGTGCTTCAGATTCTCCATGCTTACAGACAGTCCAGGTTAGGAGGGAGCCTGGTGAATATTTTATTATTAAAATCAAATGGCTTGTGGCAAGGATGAGCCCAGATGTCTTAAATGAAAAGATTAAGACAGCTCTCTTGTGGCTTGCATGTGTTCCTGACACTGAACCGTGAGGCCAGCTACTCATTCAAGTCCTTCCTGGATCTGTAGGTATAATGTTAGGGAAGTTTGCTTTATAGGATTAGGCAGTGCCTTGAACCAGATGTTTAGTGATGGAAAGAAAATGTTAGTTTAAGTAAATGTATTTGGGCTTGCAGAGCTCTCTGATTTGTTCGATAAGCTGAGACCCATTCGATGTGTATCTGCCTTAACCCATTGAGTCCCAAGTTTTCAATTATGTGAATATTTCAATGAATGACATAGGTACATTGAAAGAGGTTGGACGCCATGTTGAATGAAACTAATTTGCCCCACCAAAGTAACTGCCCTCATTCAAGATTTTGAGGGAAACTGGATTAAGTGGAAAATTGCAGAAAGGCCATTGGATTGAATAACAAAAGCATTTGGGGATTTATCCATTGAAACAGCAAACCCCACAATAGTTTGTTATGATTTCTCACAATTCTGTGGGTCCACTGGGAATAGCTGGGAAGTCGTGGGGGGCATCTCTCATGCATTTGCTGTCGGGTGGTGGCTTGGGTAAGTCATGGAGGACTTCTTCATTCACATGTCTCTTCATTGAGGAAGCCCAGGCAGAGGCTTTGAGTGAATTGTGGAGCATAATTTCCACGGTTAGTACTGAAACATGTGCTTCATAGTGTGGGGGCGGGGCGTCTTTGAAAACTAGCTACCATGTTTTGTTAGTTCAGTACAGTTGGAATGTACTGGTAAACTTTAAAAATTGATCTTTCCCCCTCTTTTCTAAACTGGTAATTAAAAGGTTGTGAGAAATGTACTAAAATTAATGATGAAATTAGTTCCCATGGAGTAATCATCCAAAATTTCAAAGAAGTTAATTTGATCAAGATAATGTGAACCTGTTGGGGGTTAGCCATCTCTGCCTGAAAGTCTCGAACAGTAGTTGGCATTAAAATGACACAGGAGAGAATTAAACACTAACACAAGTGATTCACTAAACTCCTGTCTGTACTTTCCACCACCCCAGATGGTCATGGTTCATAAATACTTACCGAGTAGGTGTTTTCCCCTTAAATGGAAATAGTGTTGTTTTGTCATTTTAAAATAATATATTTTCAGAAAACTCAGAGGATACGTGCAGGAAAATAAACATTATTCATAATTCTGAGTTAATTGTTCCTGCATTTAAAGAATACATTGTTCCATACGTTTTTCCCTTAGAAAACACACACATACATACACACACTTTCAAAAGCTTAATGGAATTATACTATTACTACCTGCACGCGTTCCAAGTTATATCAAGGGCCTTTATCAAGTCAATAGATGTGGATGGTGTTGTCAATTTTAAATGGCTATATGATTCTAACATATATAGCTATAGATATGGGTGTATATACCTATATCTAGATATAGATCGATTATCTATCATCTATCACTGTTTCCTTGTTGGAAATTTTGATCATTTCCTTTCATTTGTTTTGATACATATGCTCACATCTTTATGCACTTCACTGATTGTTTAAGAGGAGTTCTGAAGAGCTGAAGGACCTCACCTCCTGCTGAACATGAACACTGGTTTTACTTCCTTGTTCCGTAGGCTCTCCTCTCCCACCCTGAAGGTGCCCATGCCCCTCAGGTCCAGCTAAAACTACGGCTGGTCTGGCAAGAAACCCAAAGCAGGGATTGGCAGCACAGGAGTCTACCCACACTTTGATGGTGAACCTAGAACTATATTCTCTGAGTAAAATGGAGCTTAAGGAAAGTCTCTCAGGAACATCCACAGGGGAAGATATGATTAGGAAGAAGCTATTAAGAAAAATTACAGAGCCTAGGAACAGAGAAATAGAATGTGCTTCTAAAAAGCAAAAGTTAGCTTTAAAAAAACCAAAAAGTTAACGTCCTTTGTTTAATATTGTTAGATTCATGGAATAGGCATCCATCACAATTTTCCAATTAAAAAGATAGGTGCCAGTGATTATGTGATACCCATTGTGGGCAGGAATTTCCACTTGGTCTGAAGTGCATGTAAGACCATGTATCTCAGTGGAGCTATAGGCAGAACACAACAAAACCAGACAAAGGAAGCTGATTGTTATTGACCTCATGAGATCAGCCTTGGAAGCCCTTTTCAGATGGGTGCAGCTATTCTAGCTCTGGGAACTCTGTACTATCCTGGAGTTTGCCTTCTGTGCTTTTGCTCATCAATGCCACCTATTCCCATCACCAGGAGCTTGTCAGCAAAGCAGAGAAGAACCTGAAGTTCAATGCCATCCGCAGTGATTCATATTCCCATTAGTGTAAGAAGCACTGGTCTCTGTCTCATCCAGCTGTGAGGGTTCAATTATGAGAGCTCAAATACTGTAATACTCCTGCTATTTACCCTCATGTTACAGAATTCTGGAAGTGATCATGCAATGTATAAAGTACAGTATCTATACCAGACAGAAGGCTATGTGTGTTAAAGTGTGTTTAGATGTACCAGCACTCTGGTTAAATTTAACCTTGTTTGCTTTCTCTCTCTCTCTCTCTCTCTCTCTCTCTCTCTCTCTCTCTCTCTCTCTCTCTCTCTCTCCCTCTCCATTTCATTGCGGAATTATTGAAGAGAAGTCTGGGGAAGAAAAAGAAAATGACCTCTATTGTTGAACACATTTGTACCAGTTGTAGATAAAATTACTTTTATAGATCCCAAAGCGATCGTGCAGGTTTCATAGGAGATGATGACCTACAAGAATGCTACTTGCATTCTTCCATATTCAGTGACTTGCTGGTATTGTCAACATGGTCCATTTTATCCCTAGGTTTCCTTGCATTGACCATCAGAAAATTCCTTGGCAAATGGCATCTCTCTGTGTTCTAAGGGAGGACAAGGCTGACTCAGAACCTGATGCTAATTGCCTAAGAGTAGTCAGTTTAACTCAAGCAGTTGGTTTTCCGAGGAGCCAGTGGCCCTGCAGACTGGGAGGCCAAGCGCTGCTCTTAAACAAGAACTTGCTAAACCACTTGACCTTTTCAACAGCCGCAGAACTGTTTATCGGGAGCATACCATCTCTTTTGGCTCCTCCAATTTGGCAGCTAGGATAGTCAAGCCAGTGACATTGTGTGCTTTAGAAAAACTTCTGAATAATTCACAACTTCCACCATAAAGTGGCTAAATTAAACCCACTAGTCAGATAGTCATCTCCGGGTGGGTCATCCTCTCCTTGAGCTGATTGGCTTTTTTGGGACTTACTCACTGGAATCCAATGAGTCACTGTGGGAGATAAATGTAAATCCCAATTTGCCAGAGCCTCTGGTCTCTGCTTCCCTAAAAACTTCAGCTCATGAAGAAAATGATGAGCTCTGTTTCCAGCCACAAGCCTGGAGCAAGTGGCAATGTCTGCTCTTATTTTGGATTGAATTCAGGGGCGCTTAACTACATATCCACACCCCCAGCCCTTTTTAATATTTATTTTGAGACAGAGCCTCACTAGTTGCTTAGGGTCTTGCTAAATTGCTGAGACTGACCTTGAATGTGCGATCCTCCTGCCTCAGCCTCCCTGGTCACTGGGATGACAGGCGTGCACCAACACACGGGGCTAGCAATGCCTGTTAATCAATAATAACAAAGAACACGAATTCTCTTCATTTATGGAAGTACTTTGCCAAGAATAAAGGAGCCAGCGTGTTTTATTTTAGCGTCTTTGACAATTGTGTGCAAAAATATCCAGGCTGCATGACATACCTTCGCAGGATAATTGAGCTGAAATATGACTTGGTAGTGCTAATGGAGTGGGCGGAGGATTATTTTAAAAGAGGGAAAGTGGCTGATCAAGGGATGGAGCTTGTGTTTGTTCTGAAACAAGGAAGGGGGTTCTCATGTAGGGCCACACAGGCCTTGTCAAATGCCAGTCCCACCACCTGCTAGCTAGGTGATCTTGGACACATGCCTTGATTCCCCATGCCTTGATTTTCTCTTCCTTAAAATGGAGATAATAAGACCTACCTGAATGCTTGTGTGAATTAAATAAAATACTGCCTATAAATCTAAGCGGTTTAGTGTCTGCCACAACATTATCACTCAATAAGTAAGTTCTTCTTATTATAAATTAGTAATTATATAGTCATTATATGCATAATATTCAAATTAATATTATCAATATTGTCTTTGGATAGTTTAAATGGCTTTTCAGAAAATATAACTCAGCAAAAGCGTAGATAAAAAGATAACCAAGCCGTTTCTAGTCGGAGGCACTGTAGAACCTAGCTACAGATTGGTATCACAATCATTCCTGGCTTTTGTTGGTTGAACATGGAAGAGTAGACATTTGAGCCAGATTTCAGTGTCAGGAACAATCGCTCACATTTTTCAGGGTGTATGTAGATTAGCAACTTTGTTCACCTCCTCACATAAGTGATAAAGCCAATGTTGTTACTTCTGCAAACCCTGTTTTACGAGATGAGGATGGTGGCGGGGTGTTTTCAAACAGCAAATTCAACACGTATATTGAACATATTTTCAGGGTATTCACTAAGATTGAAATATGTTACATCGGAAGAAAAGGGCAGGCTTCATCCATTTTTTTTTTTTACAGAGATTAGGTCACAGGTACAAAAATACTACAGACTCAGAATATGCTTTAAAATAATGAAGACAAA